CGTGCAGATAGCCTTGTATTCATGACCTGAGTGTGTCGTCTGTTCCTGCAGTGGTCCAGCTGATGAGGCAAAGCTGTTTTTATGGTGGCATAAATTCTTGGAGCTTCTGCAGATCCAGGTGGACCAAGAGGACACCTGCACACTTGACACTCTGATTCTCACCTTAATGGCGTTCCAGAACCGTCTGGCCCAACTTAGTGAAGAAAGGCTGAGTTCAGGCATTCTGGGAGCCATCGGCCTTGGGAGGAAATCGCCCCTTTCTAGCAGGTGAGAAAAGTTTTAGAGCTGTTAAAATACTGCTAGAAGTAGAATTTTGGTTTGACGTCCACATCGGAATTAAAAGGGTTACTGCACTCCATTAAATCTCATGAAAGTAGAATTGTGTGAATTTGCATGCCTCACAATTGAATTTCTTACTCTAATTCAGGTTTCGGGTTGTGGCGCGCAGCATGTCAGCATTTCTCCTGGTTCAGGTGCCCTCAGAGAATCAGCTGCGTCTTCATCAGGGCACAGACCTGCAGCTCTCAGCTAAAGCCCAACAGGTAAGAGTTTCCAGGGAAAGCGATAAAAGTGTGACGTCATCAACAGGCAAGACTAAAAATAAGTGCATCAGATTGATTTCTGTGCTCGCAGCAATGTCTGTGAATGTATTGGCAGTAGCAAGTCTCAGTACTTGCTATGCAGCAGCAGCGGCGTGACAGATCTATTCCGCCAAGACCAAATACATTAACATTGCTGTATTTATTTAGCCTAGAAATCTAGATGCACCCTAGAGGCAGCAAATATTACTTTGCAGCCAGTGTGGTCTAAAAACTCTCCGTTGGCTTTTGAAATGGAAAAACCAAACTCTGGTCAGGCCAATCACATCGTGTATAGAGTTGGTGGGCGGGCTTAACACAAAAACTGTAGAGTTGTGACGGTTCTTAGCCGTGATTTCCATAGTTGATTTTCCTGCTACTTGAAAACAAACAAGATGCTGCTGGCGAACAGCGGTCTTTCGAATCGGCTTTGACCGCGACTCTGGAGGACTTGGATTTAAGAGAATGTCACTTAAGTCAAAGGGAAGTTCAAAAGGAAGATATGTTTGGAGTTTTGACGAGCGAATACGGCAAAAGTTTACTATATCAACTAGCTCCGCTGGTATGGGACTCACTCAGCCACAGCTGTTCGTTGCTCTGGTTGGTTTTAGCGCTATCCAATTGCATGGAGAGGGATACTGAAAGACAACCGTTTATCCCGCCCCTCGTATTGAGGCATTCCAATTGTGAGTTCCCAGACCTAACATCTTGATGTAGGTCTGGCTTGCCAGGCTAGTATTTATTACCATTACCATGCCAATTACTCAGAGAGTTGTCATGACAGAAATAATATTATATAATATAATATTTTTCTGTTGTGTGGCTTTCTGATGGTTAGATATGCTTTAGATATTTGATGATTATTTGTTAAAAGCAAATGCTATTGTTCTGTACCTTGAATGTTTACTCTCTGTCTTCAGGCCTTATCTGCACTGGAGGCGATGCTGAGTAATAAGCAGTATTCAGAGCTGCATGTGTCTGTGAACCAAGCCTGTCAGTTCATCAAGTACCCAAATCACTGTCTGCGTGACAGCAACAGCCTTTTGACCCTGCTGGTAAACGCGCTCTACACTGACCTGCATTACCTGGACATCATCCGTTAGCTATAACCTCAAAACAAGATTCAACGCCTGCTTTCAAGCTCTGTGAAACCGTACAAAAACTCCCGGAGAACAACTTTAACTCCAGATGAGACAATAGAGCGCTCTTTGTTGAGAATCAGTGCATTGAGCTTCTCACATTAAACCCTCTTAGGTGTTTTCTGGAAAAGGACAGAATAGCGAGGGATGCATTTAAATCACGATTTTAGACACTGAGACAGTGGTCATTTTTTTAAACTGTGCTTAATGTTATTAAAAAACGGTACACAAGTTTTCTTTCGTTCTCACATTATTATCATGCTTGCCCCTTTTTTTTCCCTAAAATGCCATCCTTTAAAGGTTTAGTTCACCTAAAAATGAAAATTTTGTCTTTAATTAATTACTCACCCTCATATCATTCCAAACCTGTGACTTTCGTTCATCTTCGGAAACACAAATGAAGATATTTTTGATCAAATCTGAGAGCTTTCTGACCCCACGCTGGCTGCAACGCAACTGACACTTTGATGCATCAAAAAGTGAATAAAGAGATCGTAAAACTAATCCATATAGTTTTATATGAATTGAGAAAGATCGTAAAACTAATCGATATAGTTTAATATGAATTGAGCGGTTTAGTCTGAATTTTCTGAAGATACATGATTGCTTTATATGATGTCAGATTTAATTTAGGCTTTCATTCACATATAAAGATTCATAAACTCACACATCAGTTGAGGTAAATGGAACCTCAAGCATGTTCGCTTGATGTGAGAACCAACGAGGTTTGTTCTTGTGTGTTACGCAGGTTCGGTTTAGCTGTTTATGTTCGCTGATCAATGTTTATATGCAAATAAAAGTCTAAATAAAATCTGATAATCAAATACGTAAATCGATCGAGTGTTTTGATACATTTTTGGACTAAACCACTTAATTCATATGGATTAGATTTACAATCTCTTTATGAACTTTTAAAGCGTCAAAGTGGTAATTGCGTAGCTGTCAGTGGAGAGACAGAAATCTCTCAGATCTCATCAAAAAGATTTTCTTTTGTTTTCAGAAGATGAACAAAAGTCCTACGGGTTTGGAACGACATGCGGGTGAATAAAAGATGAACTAACCTTTTAAGGCAGTGTTTCACAACTCCAGTCTTCAGGACTAATCTATCAGAATGTTTTAAATGTCTCTCACTTATTAAAACACTGGAATTAACCCATCAGCTTGTTAGTTAGTTAAATAGAGAGATATCTTAAACATTCTGGAGGGTGGGTTAAGAGGACTGAAGTTGAGAAGTATCCAAAGTTTCAACTTTTCAGACCAGACAATAACACACAAGCAAAAGTGATTATTGTTCATAGTCTCATAATAATATTGTAGTCATTTATATAATTTATCTTGGAGTGGTGAGGGTTTTATGAAGCATGTATGTTTTGGTGATATCTGATGTTAATCAGTATCTATACCTCATTTAGCAATTTTCTCCCATTTGATTTGCACAACAAATATGCTGGTGATTTTACAAAATATTACATTTTATTTATTTAATTTTTTTTTTGTAAATATGTTTTTGTAATGTGCTTTTTAAAAAGTACATTCCTTACGAGCTCATGCAAATTAATCAATAATGGTTGGTCAGCTACATTTCGATGTGAAGAAGTGTTATATCTTTCTCACTGTCGTCTTTTTGTTTGTATGAAGTATAAACTTGCTCTGGCCAACAATGTCTAAACAAGATGAACTGCTCCAGCATGTGATCTGCCCAATAAGTGCACTTAATTTTTAAATACAGAAGTGCTCCGTTAAAGACCGTTCACAATTTTGACATCTAACATTCCTTTCTCCTTTTAAAAACTTTGTTTCTCCTCAGAAAAATGGCTGTTATTTACCATATGAGATTGAATGAATGTGCTTACTGCTGTATTTGTTTAGGTGTATAGTAATCATTTTAGAACTAATATTAATTTGAAAATCTATTTCTGTGATTCTATTGCCAGCATGTTGGTATTTCCATATTTGGTTGCCATTATTATTGACTAAAGATTTTAGGTGAGCACTTCTGGAGATTCACTGCGTACTTTTATTATACCGTTCAGAGGTCATTTTCTATACTTTCTCATAGCACAGAATTCACTGTTTTCCATAATACTGCAGCAGAGTTATAGATGTTTAGATCCTCCCCAGACAAACCGATGCAAATTATAAAATAAAATTAACATGATGTATGTATTATCATTGACATATGTACATATGCATAATAATAAAAAAAAATGCAAGCAGAACAACTATTGAAATAACCTGGACACTTGTGTGAATGTATAAAGTTGCATAGAACATGACATGCCTTAAAATGTTTTCAGTGTGAAAGTGTTCCTCTTGTGCCATGAATGTCATCCGTTCACAAAATCGTCAAATTATTTGTCATGTACATTGAAATGGAAATGATAACTAAGGTCAATAATACCTAAAATCAAAGGAAAAGTGTATGTATGATCGTCTTCCCTTCCTTACTGACCTTAAAAGCATTTATCTGCACACTATGCACTCCTCAACTACGTCCATCTGTAAGAGAAAGCCATATTAATGTGATAAAATGGTATCGGTCAGTTGTACCCTTTTGAGGCAGTGTAAGTGTAAAACTCACATCGCAGGATATGGCGGTCACCATGGCGATCTCATCCACTTTAATAGATTCTACAGAGGGAGTGTTATCAGGGTACCCAGACAGCAGATGGGAGACTGAGATGTGTCTTTTCTTATGTTTAGCTGTTTATGCATTCTTTCACATCTAAGCCAGAATGACACGCAGGAGCATCTGTGAATAGTAGTGCACCAGCATGGATGTACATATTATAAAAGTAAACAAAAGAGAATAAAAAATGCAAATACTGCGAGTTCTGCATCAACTCCCAATGGCTTGGCACTAGTGTTAACATTTAAGATCTGAAGTTTGCTATAGCAGTGTTGTTTATGTCCTCAAAAACATGATACAAATGGATAGCAGCTTATGGTGATCTGACCGTGTGCCATCAACTTGTAAAGCTTGTATCTAGTGCGGTGCCAGCTGGACTTCTGACGCTTCTCCTACAGTCTACCACATTTAATTACATATATCACTTCATTTATTCATTCATTCATTTATTTATTTATTTCCAGTCCTGTAGCTGTGTTCTGCAGCCATATATCAAACCACCCATTTTAAGGAATGATACCTTAAATTAAGACTTTTTCTAAGGGCAGAACCACAAACTTCATACATAATTGGAAAAAAGGAAGTTATATGGAATTGTCAAGTTCACAAAACTTAATTTCTATGTTATTTTACAGTGTGGTGGTTTCCTGATCTCCAGAGTGTAAATGGGTGGAGGGAACCGCAGCAGCGCTAAAGGCCTGTGACTGTGTGCGGCTGTCTGAGGTAAGCGGCTGAGAGAATTCAATAAGCTTACCTCGTCTGAAACCTAAGATACTCATACTCTGTACTGTAGCTTCAACATCCACAGTCACCTTATTTCAACCTTCAATCACATTCTAGATGAGGACTGTGACTGATACAGTGGACACAGTTTTTTGGTTTAGGATGAAATACATGCTGGACATTTGAGTTTATGTTTGTATACTTGTAAAAGCCATAGAGGTCAAGAGGACAAATGCACAGAATTAGTCATGTGAAAAAGAAAGTTCAACCTTTTGATATAGTTTTATAGGGACATAATAACAACAACACATGGCATATAACACCGTAATGGTTTATTTAACAAAACCTTGGTCAAACTGGAGATGCCATGTGTGACAAACTAAGTACACCATTGCTGCTTCCATAGGAATTAAGAGGCTAAGTAGAAGTCAGGCACTACTAATCAAATTCCTTTCATTTATTTCAGGTGCATTCAGACGGAAGCGCCCTCAGATTACTTGGACGTGCTGTGGTTTCAAAAGGTAAAAACGATATAAATACTGTTGGTTTTCTCACACAAACCGCTCGTTTCGTGTCTTAAGCCATCAGTGTGTACTTGCATTCACGAGTCATTAATGTTTAATTTGGACTTCTCTGTGCATAAACTTTTTGGTGGACCCCATATACCTCCATTATATGACTGACAGACAAGAACGGTTTGACCTAAAAATATCAAAATTGAAAGTACTGTGGAAACAAAGACACCTACATCTTGGATGCCCTTGAGGTAAGCTAAAACGCACCAAAAATAAATTTCAAAGTGAACTATCCATTTAAGAGAGCTGTGTATAAACAAATGCCCCCAAACCTCAATGAACTGAAGCGCTGTTGTAAAAAAGAGAGGGGCAAAATTAATTTTTTAATGATGTGAGAGACGGATACTGTCATACTGTAATAATTATTACTTCAAACTATTGCTGCCAAAGGTGGTCTTTAAGCTATTAAAACTATTTAAAATAAATTTAAATTAATACATTTTTTTGTTAAATAAATAATGACATGATGCAAAAATATAATTTGTTGTTGTATTTACTTAATTTTAAGACCTGCTAAAGACCAGGTTATTTTTGAATATGTCCTACGTAAAAAGATACAATTAAAAAGTGTGCACTTTCGTTTTCACCTATGATTATTGCTGTTTAACTGGTAAATTATATTACATTATAGAAACAATAAATCATGCGGTGAAAACTGGGACTGCATTGCACTTACATGGGAGATCCTATATCTGCAATACAGCACTAATGAAACGCATGACTTATGAGGATTAACTGCCAGTTGTTGGTGATGAATCTCTTTTAATATAACAGCCAACTTTAGTTGCCACATTTCCATTATTAAGTCTGACAAGCCGTTATTAAGAAAAAGCATTCCTTCTATGGGTTCACAACCCTCTTTGTAGACTTGTTTCTGATGGATTGACTTATAAGTGTATTGAACAAAAGTTTTACAGTGCTGGAAATCAGTGCAGCAGTGAGTCTGAGTCATCGTGCCGTTTTAGCAGAGGGACGGCGAGTGCCAGGAGTGAGAACGAGAACATGGCTCAGAATTTCCACTTGCATTTATGGGACTTCTATCACTGTAGCCTCTATATTATTATCAGAGAAAACTTTTTTGTCTAATAACTTACACTGTAACTAAGTGAAAGTAAAATGACGAACAACTGACACTTTTTAAGGTAATAGCATATACATGCTGTGAGTCTTGACTCTTGATTTCATGTAAAATCCCAATAGGGGGTCTCCATCACAAACTGTTACATGAGCAGACATTCACCTCATAGAAACAGAATGTCATTCTCTAAATGTGTTTTAAAATAGATATTACTCTGCACACATATTTAACTGGAAAATATAGTATCAGAAATAGAAGTTGTGTCATCAAATAATGACAGGGATAAGAATCTCTTAGTTTTTGCCACATTTCCAGCTGAATCATCATGCTTAGAGATGTAGCTAATATAACCTTTGGGTCTGCAGCCCACAGACTTTTTTGAGTGACGATGAGCTATACTTCAGGAATGTCTTCTGAATTTTGCCAACAAATCCTTCTCCGATAATATTTAATAAAACAATGATTTATCTGTGTAAATGCTAAATTACCCTCTAGACTAAAATATGTATTTTGATTATCTTTTCAATATTTTTTCTAAATCATGTTTTTGAAAATGTGTTTTAGGTTTAGAGGTAGGGTTAATGTAATGGGGTAGAATATACATTTTGTACACTATAAAAACCATTATGTCTATGGAGAGTCCCCACAAAGATTGTGTGTGTGTGTGTGTGTGTGTGTGTGTGCGCATGTGTTGGACACCATTCTTCACCTTTATTGTATAAAAAGAGAAGCTATAGGACATTCTGCTATAACTCCACAATAGAAACAAAGGCACTTTCAAGGATGAGAAAATGCTCATTTTTGGGTGGACTGTCCCTTTAAAAGTTAAGAGTAACTACAGCGGAGAACATCAATTACACTAAACTGTCTTCTCCAATCTCCCTAATGATATAAACCTCTGTTTTGTATTGTTCTATATTGACAGATGTCATTGGAATCAGAAGACAGTGACAAAGACTCAGATATAAACGGACTGTCTAGCTCCAGGCCCAGTTGTCATGGCTACCATTATGCTGTCTGATGCTGAAGTACATTTTGTGTGGGAAATTTGTTCTGTTACCCGGTATTCAAACCCAGTCGGTGCTCGCTCTCTCTCTCTCTCTCTCTCTCTCTCTCTCTCTCTCTGTGTGTGTGTGTTCTTTCCATTTGTACAGTCAGTGTTCTTGCTTCTGTATGGCCATTAAATGACGTACATTTTGTCATACAGATGTTTTAGAAATAAATAGCTGTAGATATTGTAGATTTGCCACCCTTGCCCTGCAATACATCAGTTAGTTGGATACGTGAGAGGGATTTTATTTATTTATTTGTTTATTTAATCGTATAAGTCATTTAATCGTTTAGTTGCGTCAAGAAGAACTGAAGAGGTGGATGGACAGTGGAGGTACAGTCTGTAGAGCCGGTTGCCATGGATACACTTATCTAGCTGTTGGTTGGGGGTATTTCTGGATGGAGTAGAGCCTTTAGGGGAACCCTGCACGAATTGGGACAGAAAACTTACTTATGACGATCAAACTGCCCCCGGATGAATATTGAGAGTTCGGATTTAACTGTTCTCCCAACACCTGTGTGATGTCTAAATCTGTCATTGCAACTCTTACAAAGGATAAAAACAACAATTCTTCAAGTCTTCTTATACCACATGTAAGAATATGGCAGAGTCACTGCACTTAAGTTGTCGCCTGTGGGAGGTTCTGAGTCACCCAATCATTTACATTTCTCCTCCACACTCAAATACTCTGATGATGATTCAGGTGCACTTATTCCCAGCAGTCCACCTCTTTCAGCCGCTCTTCCTATTTAAAGATATCAGCTACCTTTATGCAAATGATCCAGACATGGGGATTCATAATGACATTTCACTCAATCTAATAAAAATGCAGCATGATGCAGAATTTAATATATGACTCATCTGCATGTTAATAGAACAAGTTTGGTTTTCCTAAAAAAATACTTTTGAGAATATATATATATATATATATATATATATATATATATTTCTTATACTGTATGACTTTCTTTTTTTTGAAGAATGTTGGTAACCAAACTGTTTTGGTTTGCATAAACTCTCTAACCACCTAATGAGCAATATCTGTCTGCATGGCTTACAAAAGCACAAATCCATGCCCGACTCTCAGAGCATTGCATAACATATTGAATTCAGTGTAAATATAGTTTTAGAAATATTCAGAAGCAGCTAATAGATTTAAACAGTTCAAAAGGAAAATCCAAGGCCTTGGATGTTAACTTATGTAATAGCGTTCCTGAATAGAGCCTGTACGCAAAGGAGGCTGAATGTAGAAACACTTTAGACTGTGGAGTGACCTTAGATGAGTACGATTCCAGACATCAGTGGAGAGTCTCGTCCCCTGCTGTGTTAATGTAAAGCCTGATCTGGGGCCAGACAGAGCACTCTTATTGACTGCAGGGGCCAGGTGCATCTTAAGATCAAGTATGACCCATTATTTAGTCATGGGCCTGTCAGTCTTAATTTTCAGTATTAACCAATATACGTTTTTATGTAACTGACTTAAAAAAGTAATGAACATATATATATATATATATATATATATATATATAACGATTTGATGACTAGCAGTTTATGTAAGGCGGTAAGGAGCGCATGCTTGGAGGTGGAGAGGGGCATAAACGCAGCAGAAAACACTGGATACTGCATCATCTCACTACTTGATGCAGCTCTTTTACACCTTCCTCAAAATCAAATTCTCATTTGTCAAATAGAAAATGTTACTCTAGGTTAAAAGTACACACATATTACTGTACATACAAATAGAAGAAAAACAAATATTTAGAATAAATATTAGAAAAATGTAGTAATATTTAAAACAAATTTATTTGGTGAAAATAGCTATGAGTGTCTACTAATAGTCAATACAAAATTGTGTCACATTAATTTCCCTTCTTTGTGAGCACACTTTCTCAGATGTCTACACTGGCAGATGATTCTTGAAGATGCCTATTTGTGCTGCGTGTGCGGGGCGGGGCCTATGCAGATTGTGGGCGTGGTCAAATGAATGGAGTAGAATGTCATGCTGCTGTAAGTCTAACCGGCAGACAGCTAAAGGATATTTTCACACGGTAAGCTCTGTTTTTAATTTCTGTATGCCTTCACAAATACAAGTGAAACACATATCAAAAATGTGATTGACAGCATAAATGATCATTTCCTGTAAGATTTCACAGAGAGTTTTTGAAAGCTAGTCTGTTTTAAAAAAAACTTTAGTCTTGCCGGAGAGAATTTGACATCTTCAGTAGCTCAACGAAAAGTAATGATTAGGCTAATACTGATACAATAACTGTAAATACGTCTTAATTACAGACTGTTATCAGCTCCAGGCTTTTATTTTTGTATGGTCTTTACTTTTATGAAAGTGCGTGTGTTTCAAAACCTCGCCGCCTGCTGTGTAGAAAGCTATGAACGATTTAAGACAGCCAGTATTGATTTCATCTTTTCTTGCGTCTAATTTAAGAATGATGTCTAATCGGAACCCTGGTGTGTACACTCTGCACAGCCTATATGACTGTATGATGGTACAGACGCGGATAATCCAACATCTATTTTTATGCCAAAAATACATAAAGAGGTCTGGCTTGTCTTACTGACGTCAGTGAGATATCACTCAGTCACCAGTCGTCCCGTTATTTTTTCATTGGTGGTCAGCCTGACATCAGTAAATACCGGAGAGGAATACCGGGAGACCTCAGCTCAGAGGTTTGATTTAGCGATGAGGATTTCCTGTCGGATGCGGCAAACCGGCATCATAATCTGCAGATATTGTAACTGGTGAGCTTTAATGAAATCTTTCGTGATCTGTCGAAGGATATAGGTATAAAGGCTAGGGATGTGTGTATTTTAGAACCGTTATTTTCCTCTCTGTTAAACGGACAATAGACCAAACAAGCAAATAACGTCAGCCTAAATGCAACACTTTTTAAACACATGCGTTTTTATGTGTGTAAATCGAAACTGCTATGTATAATATGCTGAACATTAAGTCTTTGTTAATGTTTCTCGAGCTGTGTTGCTTTCTGCAGTGCCGCCCAAACAAAACGATACGTTCAAATGTCCAAGGGCTTCTCTTAACGCGATAGAGTTTATTTTCAAAAAGCCTACGTCTGTGTTATTGCATGCTGTCACTGTGTAACACTCTTGTCCACTATATGAAATAAATGATTGTAGAATATTGTTGTACGATATTTACTGCTTGTGTTTTTATGAATATCGTGGACAGTGACTGATTGCAGCAAAAGATCTCTGCATAAGTAGGCGATAATATAATATCCAACGAGCTGAATTGTGCCGCTGTTCTTTACATTAGCACGACTGAAATGCCGTAGGAGACTGTGTGTTTGATATTACTTAACAGTAAATTTAAAACTTATCAATTTCAAATACTTTACATTTAAAACACACAATGGCTAATATATTTCAGAATTTAATTTTCGTTTATTCCCATTTAAATGTTATTTTCCTCATCTTAAAATGAGGGGGCCATACACACTCACACACTCAGGTGTATATATTTACACAAATATATTTGCAGGTTTTCCCACTTACTAAGTTGTGTATGTAGAAGTCTGTAATTTTTAATCATAGATACTATTTAACTTCAACAGTGAGTGACGGAATCTAAAACACAAATCCAGAAAAAACGGATTGCATAATTTTTTTTAAGTAGGCTAGTTAATTTATTGCATGACAAGTATTTGATACATCAGAAAAGCAGACCTTAATATTTGGTACAGAAACCTTTGTTTGCAATTACAGAGTTCATTGGTTTCCTGTAGTTCTTGACCAGGTTTGCACACACTGCAGCAGGGATTTTGACCCACTCCTCCAGATCCTCAGGTTTCGGGACTGTCGCTGGGCAATATGGACTTTCAGCTCCCTCCAAAGATTTTCTATTGGGTTCAGGTATGGAGACTGGCTAGGTCACTCCAGGACCTTGACCCAGCCACGACCCATCTTCAATGCTCTTACTGATGGAAGGAGGTTGTTGACCAAGATACATGGCCCCATCTATCCTCCCCTTATTACGGTGCAGTCGTCCTGTCCCCTCTTTGCAGAAAAGCATACCCAAAAAATGATGTTTGCTTCACGGTTGGGATGGGGTTCTTGGGGTTGTACTCATCCTTCTTCCTCCAAACACGGCGAATGGAGTTTAGATGTAAAAGCTCTATTTTTGTGTCATCAGACCTTATGACCTTATCCCATTCCTCCTCTGGATCATCCAGATGGTCATTGGCAAACTTCAGGCGGGCCTGGACATGTGCTGACTTGAGAGCATAGTGTGTTACTAATGGTTTTCTTTGAGACTGTGGTCCAAGCTCTCTGTGGTCAAGGCTCTGCCATGTAGTTCTGGGCGGATCCCTCATCTTCTTCATGATCATTGATGCCCCACAAGGTGAGATCTTGCATGGGCCCCAGACCGAGGGAGATTGACCATCATCTTGAACTTCTCACCAAGCTGCTTGCCTATTGTCCTGTAGCCCATCCTAGGCTTGTGTAGGTCTACAATTTTATCTGATGTCCTTACACAGCTCTCTGATCTTGGCCATTGTGGAGAGGTTGGTGTCTGTTTGATTGAGTGTGTGGACAGGTGTCTTTTATACAGGTATCATGTTCAAACAGGGGCAGTTAATACAGGTAATGAGTGGAGAACAGGAGGGCTTCTTAAAGAAGCTTCTTAAACTAACAGGTCTGTGAGAGCTGGAATTCATACCGGTTGGTAGGTGATCAAATACTTATGTCATGCAATAAAATGCAAAGGAATAACTTAAAAATCATACAATGTGATTTTCTGGATTTTTGTTGTAGATTCCATCACTCAAAGTTGAAGAGTACCTATGATAAAAATTACAGACTTCTAGACGATTTGCAAAATCAGCGGTGTATCAAATACTTGTTCTCTCCACTGTATAGTTAATTGGCCAATTTGTGTTTTAAATGTAAATAGCCTATTTGATATAACCGATGCTCGTCAACCGATAAAATTATGTTTATAGAATTAAATTTGAACGGATAAGTGTCTGTGACCCATTAAAAATACCTAAATTTGTTTTTGTTCTGTTTTATGCAAATAGCTGCATAAACAACAGAACCGAACATGAGGATTCACACACTTAAAATACTAATCTCACTTAAATAGACCTACAGATGAACAAAAATAAAGAAAAAGCTGTGCGACAAGTTGCTTATCCACAGTTTCCATACATTTTTGTGACGCACACACTCAACTTCATGAAAAGGAAACCGAAATGGCAAAAAGCAGCATTCTGTTTGTTTTCTTTATTTCACAAAAGCACAGTTTTTGTGTGTAAAAAAATAAAAATAATAAAAATAGACCCTTTACAGTTTCAAGTGATATGTGACCATAGATGACAGAGCATTTTAAGTTGTTTCCGCTGTTATAATGAGAAACAATTATTTGCCATTGTGGAGATTTGTATTGTAGAAGTCTCACTACATTAGTTACTTAATTGTGAAGCCTCAGATGCTTCTTCATTCGCTGTCTTCTCGTGGAAAGGTGAAGTAGGCACAGATGTAGATTGTGTTTTTTCTACTTCTCGCTCATCTTTCCGTGATTTCTTGAAAAGCGTAATGATGAACTTTGTGCACCCACCGTGTCACCGCATGCTAATCAACTCTCTCGCACAAAGAAAATGACAGTATAGGCTATGCACAACACATTCATCAAACCAATAAGTTTGAAAATGTTGGATTTTACTGCACTGCATTGATCAATCTATCAGAGTAACAAACCTGAATGCATTTGTATTTCTTTATTGGTTACCTTGTTTATTTGCATCTTTGTTTTGTAGAGAGCTTGGGGTGGTTCTGGAAGAACTCTTATCTGTAAATTAAAGCCATGGGGAAGGATTACTATAAGACCCTTGGCATACCTGCAGGCTCTAATGAGGATGAAATCAAAAAAGCCTACAGGAAGATGGCCCTAAAGTTTCATCCAGACAAAAACAAGGATCCTAATGCTGAAGAGAAGTTTAAGGAGATAGCAGAGGCTTATGAAGTTCTGAGTGACCCAAAGAAGAGAGTGATCTATGACCAGTATGGCGAGGATGGTGAGTGTGTTTGGTTTCATATACAAAAGTACTACAGCCAAACATCTCAGTACCTCATCAGATTCTTTGACTCATTATTGGGGCATTATCAGTTTTCTGGAAACAATAGTTATCTTTTATTTAAAATTTGATAACCATCATATAGGCAGCTTTAAGTTGAAAGTTTCACATTTGTAATTTAGAAGTGCTAACACCACTTTTTACCAAGGTTATGAAACCCTGCTTTGGAGCATGATTACAAACTCGTGAAACAAGATCATTTAGGACCTAGTTTTTGCAGGAAAAAAAGCTATGTCTTTCGAATGAGACATTAAACCAAGGTCCAGACTCTCTGTGTTAAAAAAAAATTCCCTGGATGTGCTTTGAAAAATAAAAGGGGTGTCACCCTGGCATCCTGGCCTAATTTGCCTATTGGCCTCTGTCCATTATGGCCTCTTCTAATCATCCCCATACTGATTGGCTTCATCACTCTCACCTCTCCACCAATAAGTTGGTGTGTGGTGGGCGTTCTGGCACAATATTGCTGCCGTTGCATCATCTACACGGATGCTGCACATTGGTGTTGGTTATTATTCAGTGCAATTTAAAATTCGTTTCGGTGTAAAATAAAGTTCGAAATACTTTATTAACTGTATACTCTTATCTGATGCCGCTCACATTGCAGAGAGCGACGGTTAGATGAATATGTAAACATATGCTGTGCTTTCAATAAAATACACAATAACAAAATTGAGAAAACAGCAATCACTTTAATGGTAAATGGTTGGACTGCATTTATATAGCGCTTTCACAGACCACCAAAGCGCTTTACATTTTGCCTCACATTCACCCGTTCACTCACTCATTCATACAACGACGGCGGTGTCAAGGCGCCATCCAGCTCGTCGGGGGCAGCTGGGGTTAGGTGTCTTGCTCATGGACACCTCGACTTGGTCAGGTGGAACCGGGGATTGAACCACCTACCTTCCGGTTTGTAGACAACCTACATTAACCACTATTTCTAATAAAGCATTAGAAACGCATCTGATTATAGCAACGTGGTTATGTTTGCACAAGCTCCTCTACAGCACTCTTTATACACTTTATTGCATAAAATCAAGGACGATGTTTTCATTCAAGGACTTCTGACCTTGACTGACTGCACAGGGAAAATTTAACCAGAATAGATTTTCACTTGAAAGAAGTAGCAATGGTAGTACGCTTTGGCAACCTGTTCTGAACTCTAAACGAACTTAGATTTGACCTGAATTTGTTCCGATCTACGATTTTGCTTGAAGTATATCAGGGCCTTTATGCTTGCTGTGGTAGTTGGTGTTAATGGTATTACACTCCCTATACATTGAGTGTGTGTGTTTGTGAATTTAATTTCAAATGATTTCAGTACCCAGCTTATTCATAGCGGCTACCTGATGCCCGCAAATTATCACCCTTTACACGAAGTACATGTGATCGCTAAAGTAAAAAGCAACTCCCCCTCCTCTGTGTTAATTACCAATGTGAAAAGTTCCTTATTATTGGTTGAAAATAGTGCATTGTACTCAAACATATCTTTTCTAATACCCCTTTTCCACCCAAAAAGAACTGGTGCTGTTCAAAGTTGGTTCGGAGTTGGTTCAACTTGTTTTTCCACTGACTAGAGCGCCCAGGGAACGACGTTGTTACATCACTGTGTACGTCGCTAGAAACGCTTGCAAGTACATTGCTTTGGGATTATCTCTAACACGTGTACCAAGAAGGCTTTAAAAACAATTGAAATATGTCAGTCTTTTAATCTTTTCGTTTGATATGTAATCTTTTCTGATAAGTTATGTACCCCTGTCTTGTGTCTTTTTTTCTTTTCATTTATTTGTTCTATAATGTGACTGTTTTCTTCTTTGCTTATGTTTCAAATAAAAAATTACAAAATAAAAACGCTTGCGCCAACTTCAAGCATAACAATTACAAAGGTGGACTCCATCGTGTTTCTGCAAATGTTTCTCCTGGCTTTGCGATGGTCAGAAAAGATGTTTAGAACACATCTAAACCCGTCCCAGCCCCCGACGTAAGCATAACGTGGTAAAAGAACGGTTCTAGTCCAACAAAGAGTTGGTGCCGCTTTGGAACCAGTTTTCCCGGCCGAGAACCGGTTCTTTGGCTGTCGAAACACAAAGAACTGGTTCGCTAGTAGGCACCGGCTCCGAACCGGTTCTCAAAATGCTTTGGTGGAAAAGGGGTTTGAGAAAACATTACAGATGCTACAAGAAGACTTCATGTACCCAGGCGCAGTTCTGTGTGTTTATGCCAGATAGGACAAACCTTAAAAGGATCTTGTCGTGGCTCACGTGGATAGACCACTGTTTTTTATACACTGCAGGATGATACAGATCATACAGAAAAGTTCTCTGACTAATGCAAGGTCTATAAACATGGCACTGTTCCAAAATAATAAAAATGTATGAGGAAACAAAGAAGGATTTCAAATGTTCAAATGCCAACTCCAGGCTAGATGCCAGGCTAGTTGTACACCTTTGCCAATTCCTCCTTCACTGAAAGTACTCCTGAATTTAGCAAGGACTCCCTTTATGTTTTTAGAGTCTTTGCATAAATACTTCCTGTGCACCATGGCATGGTTCCATATTGCTTGTAAATAAAGAGCCAGTGGGTTCCCCCAAAAGGCTGTGGCTGCAGCAGAGAGCTTATTTGCCTATATATTAACACGTTGAAAAACTATGTTTTTAAATCTGTGTTTTAAGATGTGAATTTGTTATTCCCAATTGACCCACTTTAATAACCATCCCCTCATTGATTGTTTTGGCCTGAGGAATTCGTTGAAATTGCAAAGAATGAAATGGAAACATGTTTTATAAGATGTCCGCATTAAGTATAGAGTTGTTGAAGATGTGAATGTCAAGCAAGATGAGTCAGCTTGTGTACTGGTGGTTAGGAGTGCATTTGTTACAAGCCATTAATCATCCACCATAACACATGGATGTTAATGTTTTTTTTTTAACAGAACTGAACAGTCAAAAAAGTTTATTGTTTGACCGTAATTGTTTTTGTGCAGAGCACTGTTTTACAGTCAAACTCAGAACACAGTTCAGACACCTGAGCTTAGAGAACATTCACCAAGCCATTGCCATGGCCTTCCACTCATACAGGAACATTAGTTCCCCAGGATTTGTGCTACTAGTTCTTTTCAGCCCATTTGAGAGGGGGTGGAAAAAAGAGAGAAAGAAAAAAGAGAAAAATTACTCTTTTCTCGTTTGAGAAAAATACTCTTTACATTGAGGAATCTAAATACAACCTTGCATTCTTTAATATGCAGTAGGCATTAAAAAAAAGATTCAGAAAGCTTCTTAACCTTGAAACGGTCACAAAAGGGCAGAAGTTCTGTGGGCAGAACTTTAATGCAGAAAACCCTAATACATTGTGCCCCCTGTGTATTTCCTTTCAGGTTTGAAAACAGGTGGCACAGGCTCATCTAGTGGACAAGGGACTACATATCACTACACCTTCCATGGTGATCCACATGCCACCTTTGCTTCTTTCTTTGGAGGCTCCAACCCCTTCGATATATTCTTTGGCTCTGGACGCCAGCGAGGAACCACTAATGGCTTTGCAGACCATGGTGACCATGACAAGGACATTGAAATGGATGGAGATGATGATCCCTTCAGTTCCTTCAGCCACTTTGGTTTCAATGGTGTCAACGGTTTTCACCATGGTGGAGGTCGAAGACATCGCAATGAGCCCCTTCATGGTGGCCGGAGGAAAGTACAGGACCCTCCTGTAGTACATGAGCTTAGAGTGTCTCTAGAAGAGATCTTCCACGGATGTACCAAGCGGATGCGAATCACTCGCAGACGACTGAACCCAGATGGAAGGACAATGAGGACAGAGGACAAAATCCTTAACATTGTCATCAAGAGAGGCTGGAAGGAAGGGACCAAGATCACCTTCCCCAGAGAGGGTGATGAGACACCTGAGAACATTCCTGCTGATATTGCATTTGTGCTCAAGGACAAAGGGCATCCACTCTTCAAAAGGGATGGCTCCAATATCATTTACACAGCCAAGATTGGTCTTAAGGAGGTATGTGCTCTTAAATCTTCACTGTTTTGACAATCAGTTTTCAGTCAATATGATTTCCACCATGTATTTTTATCCACAATATATTGCAGTGTTTCCCAACCCTGTTACTGGAGGAAAACCAACAGTACACATTTTGGAAGTCTTCCTTATTTTACCTATTCATTTCAGGTCTGGGAGTCTCTTCTAATGAGCTGATGAGTTGAATCAAGTGTGTTTGATTAGGAATTGTTCGAAAATGTGTAGTGTTGGTGTGCCTCAAGGAGCAGGGTTGGATAACACTAGCTATGTTTCCCTTCAAAGTTAACAAAATACCATTGGTGCAAAATATCTGTAATAAAAATGGAAGTTGCTATTATCAGGGAAGCCACTGTGGCACTTTATTCCTACATCGTAAATTACTTTTATCTCGGCCACAGACAAAACAATAAATGCTGTCATGTCAATGACGTCATCATGCATTTAGATACCTGGTGTTTGAGAGTGCAAACATGAGAGACACTTTTCTGGGAGGTCATTATACCAAATGATTCTAGTGACAGTCTTTGGCTCAGGCATTTCAGATCACAGCAATATTTGGGATGCTGTATAATGAAATTGGTCCGCTGGTGAGACCAGTTATCCAGTCACATTCACTGTTGACTTTTTTTTTTTGTTGCGCATAGAGGGATTTATTCGGTAATGAGTTTTCACTGTAGTTTATGAGCATGTATTCTCATTGGATCAAAAATGATCCGCCTCAATTGAGTGCACATGTATTTTATGCTTATTCTTAGAACTTATTTCCATTGGCATTTCCATCTAGTGTTTTTTTTAAGTGATATTCCAAAATGCATAAAATAGGTGGATTGAAAGCTACTGATAAATTGGTTATTGGACAGAAATTCCTTATTGTGAACCCCTAATTGACAGTCTGTTTTTTTTAACCTGTGGGCTTTTTCCCACTATTCCTTGACATTCCCTTACTGGCCGTCAAAGCAGACTGGGTTGTTTTATCAGTTGGCTTCTGTAGCCCAAGAATAGACAGACCCAGACTTAGATTAGACAGGTTTACGACAGTCTCCACAATGGACCACCCTTTGGCCTTTGTGCCCTCATTAACATGGACTTAAAGGGTAAATTAATGGGCTTCATTTGGTATCAAACCCCTCTCCAAAATAAGTACTGACCTTGTTAACCTGCACAGCTGCTAAATTTGGCTGTTTTATTCTCCCAACACAAACCATTGGTAGTTTTATTTTCCTGCAATGTCTGTGACTAGGGCTGCACAATATTGTTTCAGCATCAACATGTGTGCATCTGCGATAGATAGATGGATGAATGGATGGAGGGAGGGAGGGAGGAAGGGATGGATGGATGGATGTCGTATAAGTAGGAAACATAGTTGATCTGTGATTCATATGGACCAGGCCCCACAATTCAGAACGCATGTGAATCCTGGATTAATAGCAAAGTTTAACCATCATAGAGTGAAAGTTTATTATTTGCCTGTGTTTTAAGTCCCGTCAGTTTAAACATGCAAATGAGTTTAAAGCATTCAAGTGCAAGAAGACGCAAAAGAAGACTCAATTTGGCACTTGGGCGCTGTTTTCTGTGTGCTCCCACAAAGCACACAGATTCCATTACCATTCAAATTGCGCAAATTGAAATTACGACATTAAAAATACGCCCGAATGGAAACGCATCAGTTTCGCAAGTTTTTACTCTCACATGAGGTGGTTTTTCAGGCAATTCGAAAAAGGAATATTTTTCAAAACTGCAATGGAAACTGAAAATTAGTTTTTGCTCATTTACAGGTCGCCTGATGTAGATGACGTGGTATGTTTGGACAGGAGATGAGACAGAGTTCTACATTAATAACTCTAATAATTAATAACCAGGGAACACTGGATTCTTAACAACAAAGAAATGCCACAATTTATCAAGACCTTGAAGCAGATGAGAGGGAGAAACACCTCATATATGCCACTCCCAAGTAAAAGGGTCTTTCCTTGCCATTAATGCTTGGATAACAGGCCTACTTCTCCTTCCCTTAAAAACAATGGCTAGTGCGGTGGCTGGGATATACATAAACCTACCAACATCCATCGCCATGATTTTTGGAATGACGTTTTAGTCGCATAACATCGGTTAATGGAAACACCGTCATTTCACAATAGTTTTGGAAGGCAGCTAGTGTCAGCTGCGTGAGTCTCTGAATGCATGAGAGTTGGCAGCGCTGCATTCTACAAGTATTCGTTCTTTCCCAATTTATTGAAGTCATCTGGTGCAATTGTTTTCATATTGCAATATTTAAAGCAGAAAAACATTTTATTGTTTTTTTCCCCAATATAGTTCAGCCTACTATATATCTGTTACCTTCCATTTCATTATGAAACATATTACTATTATTGTATAACATTATACTGTGTATATGGGTAAATGTACCTGAGCGTGCCCAGTGTTGATCTACCATAGCTGTAGGACTCAATAGAACAAAATCATGCTTGGTGACTTAAGAGTCTCTCCATGGCTCAAAGTCATTGCTGATTTACTCTCTCCCACTTCAGTGTGAGAGCACAGGAATGTCATGGTGCAGTGTCATACGCCAAAGCAGAGTCCTAACTTTGAAAAAGCGAGTTGAACTCGCCTTGAAGAGTTGAACCGCACATATAAAATTGCCATGTGACCGAGCCAAGCATGGTTTCTTGGGTTGCACATGGAACATTTAATTTTCACGCCTGGAACCAGAAAATTATTGCGGATAATACAGTTTGTTCACAATAAAAACAAAAGCAGATAAAAAAAAAACATACATAACTGGAATTGAACAGTTATTTTTTTGTGACTTTTATTTCTGTTGTATCGTGCCATACTGTTTGTGTTTTCATCATAAAAGTTCAGTAGTTTATGACAGCTCATAGAGTCACTGATGCAGTGCTAGCCTGAGGGGATCCAATAAGAACCTCAGAAAATTCTGCCCCAAGTAATTAAATGCTGGAACATTATGCTTTTTTTAATCAGAGCAATAATTTAAGTTAATGATTAAATTCGATTGACGTTGCCTAGATGTAATGTGATTTTCATGGGCTGACCCACTGAGGATAATAACCACAGTCTACATATATTTATTAGTCTAGTGACCTAGAAATCCATGGTCAGTTAATACTTTATAGTGACATCCGCAGAAATAGCCTTAATGTCAGTCGTGAAGCGTTTCAGAGCACTACTGTTATTAATGGTAAATATTTTCTTGTCTTTCTGTTAACTTAACTTTTGACTACTTTTACCTTAACAGCTCAGTCAAGGCTTGTCAGCTGTTTCAAATAATAATGTGTCCGTTAGATTTCCAGCCTTTGTCTAAAACTGCATTTTGGCTTTTGTTATAGGCTGTGTCAACCACAGATTTGAATATCTGGAAAGATTTACAATGTCTGTCTTAAATAAGAACCGTTCTATTTTCTGATATGTTTTCAGAGCACTGATTTACTTTTAAAGGTCTTGCTCATTAGATGCCCAGAATGAAACTTGATAAGAGCCAGTGAACATCCCAAACCGTTTTGCCATCTGGTACCATCTCATGCAAACTGATGGCAACTGGCCACACAATTTTTCATCTGCCTGTTTATTGTTGATGCATTCATGGGACAAATTTTGCATGGATATAGACTGTTCTCATAGGCACATTGGCCCTCATTTATCAAAGTGCGTACTCCAAATTTCCAACGTACACCCAAAACCACGGTGACTTTGAGATGTATCAAAATGGACGTTGGCGTGCGGCACTCTCAAATCCGCCAGCTCAGGTACAGTACATGTACGCACATTTTGAGTTAATGCAGAAATGCGCAGAAAAACAATTCCTAACACCACAAAATAGTTAGTTGACAAATTAAAAATCAAATAGTTGACAAACTAAAAGATATGATATATTATGACCCACTGTAAAAAACAACAACATAGTAATTAAAAAACTTCAATGTATTCAGCTTCAATAGACTTCAATGTTTCATTTGTGTGAATTTACCAAAGCATTTGATTTGTAGGCATATGTATTCCTTCAGTTGCGAGCCTTCAGTTGCAATTATTGTATTAATACTCCACATCACATCATCATCACTATTGTACACCCCAATACATGTGACGTGATACGAAATTAAATGCTGATTGTTTCAAAAGACGTGCTGTAAAATAATGCATTGTGATAGGTCATTTCGTCTCCACGTCGGAGAAGTTTCTCTTCTTTGTCGTCTTCCGTGGCGTAAAATGAGGGCGTGGGGGAAGCGGAGACTTGAATTCATAGGGGCGTGTTATTCAAATGACGATAGTTTTCAGCCGCGGCATTTATCAATGGCAGGTATTGCGTAAACCTGGATTCAAAAAGTACACACAGCTTCATAAATCAGGCGGTGAGAGGAGTGTAAGCATATTCTTACGCCAACTGTTTCTACGCATGAATGATAAATGAGGGCCATTGTCTTCATTTAGAGATGCTCTTAGTGAAACCCCAAGGCACTGCTTTAATTAGAGCTCTGAGCTTCTTTAATTGCCTTCTGGTAAAGACCATGGGTTTGCACAAGAGCAAGACAGCTATAAGGTCCTTGTCTGCTGGTAATTTCCATACCCAATTCACCTAGTAATTACTCATCAACAGTGCTAAAGAGCCCAGTTAGCAGCGATGCTGAGGAAACGCAAGGCCACGTGATGATATCTGTATGATGATGCTGGATTACTCAAGACAGCTCTAAATGTGATCTTGCATCAAGTTAATTTGTTAATGTGAGCATTGTGTCTTGAATTCAGACGTTCTTAACTCTGATACTAGTGAGTTTAAGAGTGTTCAATGCGACTCATTCGTCGTCAATTCTTTCCACCTTGTGTATGCCATATCAATGTTTAAGCTTGTTGTTTGGCTTCGGAGCTTTGTGCTTCTTCAGCCATACATGAACTGATTCTCTCCTTGCCACTACTGAGTCTAAGTGTTTTTCTTCCCATCACTACGCTAGCGTATCTACTGATGTGGAAGCCAAGCCAATGAGTGTGAGGATTCTCTGATGTTTAGTAAAACTGCAGGTCATGTCATTTCAACATAGCGAAATACATTTAGGGGGTGACATGCACCATACATAATTTAAACACTTTTCATAGAAAACTTTTATGAGTACAGTGCAGTCTACAAATTGCTAAACTACCGAACTCACCTTTACAGCGTGCCGAACCGGTATGTCTGTGCACAATACAGTCGTCTGTCATTTGGAGGTCTAAATAAGCACAGTTCTGTTCATAAACATTTAGGGTATTAAAAGGAGAGTGCCCACTACATTGTCAGGGCTTGCAATCGAATTTTGAGAATAGTTGCATTTGACTAACTTTATTGCCTGTGTCATCGTTGACATACTTATAGACATGCTTAGTGGGTTTGCTAATGTAGATGTAGCCTATAATTTTCACTAGTGGTAATGTCCTACAAACTTCGCACTGGTGCAAATGTCCAGATCAGTGACAAACCTCTTTGTCACACCGAGCTGTAGACCATAAAATAACTTGTTTCATTTTCGATCTCCTTAACAAGACTATGTTTGGGAAACATCATCATTAGCCAGAGTCGAGGAGATGCCTGGCACCTTGTCACGTTCAACTGTTTTGTAAGAGTATCCAGCTACTCCCTTCTTTCCTTGAATCCCCCATCCCCCCCAGCCCACCCAGCCCACCACACCACTGCTGTCTGTAGGAAGGAGCTGATGTCATTGCGAACACATTTTCTCATCCCTTGAGGCAGCTGCTAAGCAGAGCTGTCTGGCAATGTTTGTGCTTTGTATTCACAGAAAGTTCATGAAATGTTCTTCCAGCATAAGCTCACATGCAATAACCGCAGGATTTTCACTGTATACATTTAAGCTTTAATCATTATCCATCTCATTTTTAATATCCTGATATTTATTTAACAGTGAGGAACTTCAGCTCTGTTGGAAGATGAAAATGAACTAAATCTGACATAAATATATAAACTAGACAGAAGGATCTTGTTCATATAATCCTATCAATTACATTTGTAAACTGTCTTAGCAGCTATACTGTGTGTGTGTGTGTGTGTGTGTGTGTGTGTGTGTGTGTGTGTGTGTGTGTATATATATATATATACACACACACACACACAAACACACACACACACACACACACACACACGGGCAATAACTTTCCGAAAGAGCTTAGAGTATGCCACCAACATCTCACTAACATCATGAATGCAATGCATTCAAGTACCATGAAATGCCAGCAACACAAAACTCAGACTGATCTCATGAAGTAGCGCGTGTATGACACGCCAATTCGTATTTCCATTTTTGGCGTGCTATCAAGACGCATAATCCCCTTTCAGCGTGTTTATGAACGCCGTTGACTTAACGTTATATAAATATATGACTTACCTCAACCCCGTCCCTAAACTTAACCGTCACTGGGGTTAATGGCATTTATGACTGGAGATTTGACTGCGTGTACAGACACGCGGAATGACGCGGACGTTAATGGCGTAGACATACAGTGGTGTGAATAAGTTTTGGCACCCATGCTAAAGTTGCCTAAAAAGAGGAATAAAAAATCATCTTTAGGATACTGATCTTAATGCCTTAATTAGAAAAATGAGGAAAACTCCAACCTTTAAGGACACCAATTTTCTTTGTGAATCAATAATGTATCATAAATAAATAAATGTTTTTCCTTAAAATACAGGGTGCATAAGTCTGGGCACCCCTATGTTAAATTCCCATAGAGTCAGGCAGATTTTTATTTTTAAAAGCCAGTTATTTCATGGATCCAGGATAATATGCATCCTGATAAAGTTCCCTTGGCCTTTGGAATTAAAATATCCCCACATCATCACACACCTTCCACCACACCTAGAGATTGGCATGGGGTACTTTCCATAAGATCATCTTTCAATGCAAATCAAACCAGCTATTAGGCTAACTGAAGTAAAACCATGCCAATCTCTAGGTGTGGTGGAAGGTGTGTGATGATGTGGGGATATATTTGATTATTTTTTTTTACATTTATTCGTTCAACAGATACTTTTATCCAAAGCAATGTACGAATGATGACATTATTGTGATATTACGGGGTGGTGATGGCACAGTGGATAAGACACGTGCCTTTAGTGTGAGAGACCGTCACCCGGATTCGAATCCACTGTGAGACACCAATGTTTCCCTGAGCAAGACACTTAACCTGTAGTTGCTCCAGAGGCGTGCGACCTCTGACATAGCATTTGTAAGTCGCTTTGGATAAAAACGTCAGCTATATGTAAATGTAAATATATTATTGTTTCTGTGTACCCTGATAAAAAATAATCCTGTGAAGTAAATGCTACAAAAAAACAAAACAAATGTAATTTCTTCATTAATTTAGTTAAAATAATTTAAAGAAACAAAGTTAATTCTATATTAGTACTCAATTCAATTTTGTAGAAGTATCAACGTTATAAAATTAAGTAAAACCTACTCAACTTTCTGATATTGGTGTTCCCATCATGCACTGGGGCATGCACAATTAATATCACCTTTTTTCTAGCTGCTTTCCAGCTGTATTTACACTGTTTTATCATTGTTAAGTTCAGTAACTTGCTGTTTTGTGACATCTGGAGTTCATTTTCTACTCAAAATTATAAATGATCCATCTAATGTCACCATTGTGTTCCAAGTAGGTTCGGATAGTACTGTCACAGCGCTGTGTAGATGATCAACACAAACAAGATGATGACGAGAAATGTCAGTCTTTAATTAATCCAAAAGCATCCAAAACGAAGAGAGCTATACACTTAACTGGCAATACCCGACAAAACAGTCAAAGACATGAACTTAAAATCCTGATGATAACGAGGTGCGTACAGCTGAACAGAATGACAATTCAATCAACAACCATGACAACAAACGAACTCAAGGTGCTAACTGAAAAGTCCAACCAGTGTGACAACTACATTATTTATATTGTGTAGATATTGCATAGTAATTTAATCTAATTTCATGTTTCTAAGTAAATCATTCAATTTTAAATCATGGCTTAATTCAGTGTGAAATTGTTTGAGTAAAATGTAGTCAGTAAGTGAGCAAAATGTACTTACAATTATTGTATTGCACGATGATTGTACTTAAAATGATTAAGTGGAAATTACTCCACAAACTCTTAACTGGCCCAGTTAAATGTATTTATCCTCTTTGTTAATTTTTCATAACTTGGTTAAGTAGATTTGACTTTAGATTCGATTTTAAAAATCTTCATTCATTAAATTTTAATTACCGGTATTGATTTTTTATTTTTGAAAATTCTCCCTCTTTAACAATTTGAAAGTGTTTCATCTGTGCCTATGGAATCCTGCTTCAGTCTCTCTTTTTTTTTTTTATCCATAGCAACTTCTGATTTGGGAATCACAATTTGTGTCCTCAGCTGATTTTTCAGTTGCTTCATTAGCTGTGTGAAATGAGAGCAGTGGCCAGAATTAGCTTTCTGTGCACTCAGCTACCACATCTGCAGCATCACACTCTCTCTCTCACACACACACACACACGCACACTCGCCCACTTTGACACAATCCAAGTAAGAAACTTTACAACTCCTGCAAAAAGTTTTTAATTAAATGTAAATGAAGTTATTGTGTAGATAATTGTTGATAAAATATGTGTATTTTGAAAAAAATAAATGAAAACAATGACCATTTTATCTCATTTTCATTTTAACTCTAATGAATATTCAGAAAATTATGCTAATATCTGTTTTTTATAGTGACAGTAAATACATTATAATGTTGCAAAATAAATATTTTTTATATAAGTTGAAAACTTAAAATGTTGGGTGCATATTTTCTTATGGTAAAGTTCTTGCAACCCCAGCTGCCGGTTTTTACTGTAAATTTCAGATTTCTTTTTACAGTCCACTATACACTATATGTATAAACTATATCTATCCTGTACATGTGCTCTCTGTGCCTGTAACATCACAGAGGCATCTTACACTAGGTCTCTATGTCGCCATGTAGAGTTTGTGCTTAAGTGTTGAAATACCATCAGTGTATTACCATCAGCGTACCATCTCTTGTCTGCACTGACTTAACTTTGCTTTTTTGCTTTTTGATAGGCTTTGTGTGGCTGCACAGTGAACATTCCCACCATTGAAAACCGAGCCATCACATTGCCCTGCAACGATATCATCAAACCAGGCACAATCAAGAGACTGCGTGGAGAAGGCCTACCTTTCCCGAAAAATCCATCCCAACGCGGCGATTTGATAGTGGAGTTTCAGGTGCGCTTCCCAGACAGAATACCACCCCAGTCCAGAGAGATCATCAAACAGCACCTACCACAGTCCTAGAGGAAGTTCAGTGGATTCCCTTTATGCTTACGGTTTTCAAACACACGTTTTCCTTAGAAATACAGACACTGAATCAAAGAGGACCAGAGGCTCATTTGATATTTTGTTACAGTTTTAATTGACTTTCACTGAACATGTGGAACGCCCAGGACTTTTTTAAAAGTAATGTTTTATTATTTCCCCTCAACAGTTTTTATTCTCTGTATCAAGATATTGAAGGCAAACAGTTATAGAGGAAAACAAAATGACCGATTTTTTTTTTTTTGGATGGAAGGTTAATATTTTTGGTGCACTGATGGAGATGAGGACAATCCAAAAACAACCGGTTATTCCGAAATTGAATCTGTGTTATTTTGTAGCAGATGAAACTCTTTTCCATTGTAATAATCGATAAGCTTGTTTTGAATGTTGATTATGTAAGACAACTTAAGTGTTGGAGACTTTTGGATTTTTGAGCACCAGCAGAGCCATTTGGTAAGGATGTGATATATTTCCACTCTCTGACCCATATCTACAGGTGCTTTCTGCTAGTTTTTGAAGTACCAGGTACTGGCATTTCTGGTAATCATTTAGTGATGTGATCAAGGGATTTTTTAGGTCACAGAAATTTTGAGTGCCTTACTGAGGCGAGCCAGCTGTTTTATTTTCATTAGCATAGACAATAGGGTATTATCGAAACAAATACTGTAATCAGACTATTTTGCCATTTCAGTAACCAAAAATAATGTATTGCAGTAAAATCATTAAAGGGATAGTTTACGCCAAAACGATCAATCGGTGATGTAGTCGTTGTCATGCAACTCATAACGTCATTGTTTCCGTGGAACACGCGAGTTAGCTAGCAGAATGTCCTGGCTGTTTTTCCAGATGATGGTGACTGTGGCTGTCAAGCTATCTCTTACACCTTCCAAGTTGTATAGCTTTGTGTCATAATTGAAACAGACAAAACTTAACTATTACATGTGCTGCTGTGTACCTTGCCTCTAGCGGTCAAGAAATTGTGTGTTGTAGAATCACCAGCTCTGATTGTAAAAGAATGACTAGAAATGAGATGAGAAAGTTAAACTTGCTTTTAAAGGTGCAAAAGAGAAAAAAAGTAACAAAAAATATAATCATCATAGGCAATATCTTATATATCATATGTGTATTCAGTCATATTCGTCAATCCAAGTTATATTATTCAATGATTTGGCACATCACACACGTATCAGTCAGTCAGTCATTTTTGTAAGACACTATATATATGTAGAAAAAACATGACAGAAAGACATGGCTGCAAATATTTGTATTTCAAAAGCAATTATTATTTTTCTAAGTATAATAAAAGGAAATGTGCCTTCCAAAAAACATTCAATATAATATCAATGTGTTGTATAAAGAAAATAAAAAGGACATGAGCAAATATAAGTAAAGTTTGAGACGATTGGATCAGTTGTGCTCCTTCTTTGGAATACTATTTTTTTTTTTTTTTTTGTGGAGTACTTAATGCGGCCCAGCCTGACCCAGACTCTACCTCCAGCGGCCCCCAGTTCAGTTGAGTTTGAGACCCCTGACCTAGACTGTCTTGGTCAAATGTCCTTACCATTTTATGATTTGGTCTGACAATTCTTTTATTTTTTATTTTTTATTAAATATAAACAGTTCTTCATTGTTTTATTAACTGAGAGCAGGGAAGTTAGAGTGAAAAGCAAATTCTGGTCTGTTCCTCATGTGAGGATGTTTTCTTTTAGAATTTGACTGTCAAAACTCGCTTTCATTGTATAGAAAAGAACAGCTGGGTCATTCTGCTAAATAACTCATTTTGTGTCATGGGAAAAAAATATTTGGACAAGATAATTATTGAATAATCATTGAAGCAAATAGCTATTAAAAATGCTCACTTGTTTATTTTATTATACACACCATCTCGTACAAGAAACACAAGCATACTCCAAAGTGCAGCATGATAGTCTCAGCATATTAAGATGAAAATATAATTTGCATTGAATGAAAAGCTATGTTACCTAATGTTGATTAGCGTTTGAAGATTGGTCAGTGTGAAACTGAGAACTGTGATAAATACAGATCTTCATTGTTCAGTAACCACAGCTACAATTATTGCAAACTTTTTTAATGAAGTTATTAGGGATGGATTTGCTTTCAAACAGCTTTTTACTACAAAGGTTTCAGTATTTTACACTTTTAAATGTGTGCAATGTGAAATAAACTGCAATAGTTGTCTATATTTTAGTTTAAATTTAAAGCACAGAGCCTCCTTTCAATGGATTTGTGATGTACCATCTTTCTACAGTAACAACAGGATTTGAGTAACAGTATTTTGATATAAGCAACAATTTTCATTTCTCCAGGGATCCATCTAGGATATCTCTTATACAGCCATTACTGTATTTGTGTTACATTGAAAGTATGGAAGATCACAAGCTTTTTAAAGACTGGTGTAAAATAGTTTCATTATGTACTCACAGGACTTTTGGACATCCATTCATTGTTTTGAATTTGAATGTCAGATTTGAAATGTCTCATGTTTATGACTTCTGTCCTCTTGTATAAATCCTGCTCCCTGTATCCATTGGGAAGATACATCAATATGTTAAATTCCCATGATTCAGAGAAAATCGGGCCTGTAAGGGTGTGTGTGTGTGTGTCCGTGCCTGCCATGCTGTTGATGTTGAACTCTTTCATTTTCAATAGCAGTGGTTTACATTTTGGTGCTTTATGAATGATTTACAAGAACAAGTAATAAACCAAACATACTGACAGAAAAGGAAAATAATAATGATCACCGTTTCTGACTGAATGAATTGTAGACAGACTGACAGCTTTCCAAGTGACATGACGATGTTGGGCACACTAGGGAAACAAATCTCAATGCAAAATCAGAATGTTGACAACAAATCCACATTTTAACGTATTTATAACGTTTATACAGATGCCGTTATACTCTAACAACTAGCAAAGGTTTCAACTCCACAGATAAATGCTGGACTACAGTTTTGAATTTGTATCATGGTTGGGACAAAACGTTTACCTTTATCTATTTTAAATACATTAAGTCTAAGTGATATGAATAGAGAATGCTTTCACTATGTGGATATGTCTGAAAAAAAAAGGGCTCATGCCACATCGCTTGACTCAGAAATGAATGATCCTCATCCCTCTGAAATTACCCCGTGAATCAGACCATTCTCAGTCATTGGACTGTTAATGGTGTTAAGGTAATAGGTGTTAATTCAGTTATTTCTTCATAAAGTCGATGTCTGATTCAAAGTCCCGTTGATGCTGACAGAGTAAAATCTCTGTGATCATTAAGCATAACTAAACATCTGATGGTGCATGTCTCGATGGGTCTGATTATCTGTTTCACAGACATGAGCTCTATTAACTGCACTGCATTCCTCTACTGTTTGAGCTGAGAAATCAGCATTGATGTTCAGTTTTCTGGAGTTCCTACAGTGCATGTAAATGGGTAGTAGCCTCCCTAAGACATTTTGGGATAACTACAAGCACAAAATAATTCAACAGTTCCTGTCCACTATTTCAGTGGCCTGAAAGCATTTTTAAGCTTTTTTCTCAAGGTTTTCCTTGGGGATTTGAAAAAAAAATAGAGTTTTTGTTAATGAGTTAAAAAACCAATCACGCGAATCACAACATTATTGCCCCTTTTTTCAGTAAAATATTGTTTTTATCTCGCATTTGATGACGTCTTCTTTGGTAGAGTGTGCGGACTCTATTGATGCGTTTACTAATAACAGTATTATGACATTTGATTTGAAGCAACAGCTAGACCCTATTTTATAAAAATGACCCTTTTCACATTTCCGAGTTTCTCAGAAGCGGAAGTCATAGTTGGTTAAACTTCTATAGCGGTGAATGAGAGATGACATTGAATTTATATTTTGTGTTTTCGTTTACTCAAACAGCAAAAGAAAAACACTGTAATAGTGTTTTCACAACTTAAAAAAATGGAGAGAGACAACAGATGACAATCAATCACCTGCAGGTGATGCGTGGGAAAAAAGACTAAACGGTAACTGTTAGGTCAGGTCAAAAATCGAAGTAAAAACAACAATATACTTGCAGGCTATCAAAATTTTATTAGCAACGTTTCTGTCCTATAATTTCTAAGCTCAATGAGACTGAATCCATAATTAACACCACATCATCATATTATCAATTTTGAATATTGTGTTTCGGCCACTTCTCAGCCTCCCTGGGAAAGTCTATGCCAGGGTACTGGAGAGGAGAATACGGCCGATAGTGGAACCTCGGATTCAGGAGGAACAGTGTGGTTTTCGTCCGGGCCGTGGAACACTGGACCAGCTCTATACTCTCTACAGGGTGCTGGAGGATTCATGGGAGTTTGCCCAACCAGTCCACATGTGTTTTGTGGATTTGGAGAAGGCATTCGACTGTGTCCCCCGAGGCGGCCTGTGGAGGGTGCTCCGGGAATATGGGGTCCGGGGTCCTTTGCTAAGGGCTGTCCGGTCCCTGTATGACCGAAGCAGGAGCTTGGTTCGCATTGCCGGTAGTAAGTCAGACTTCTTCCTAGTGCATGTTGGACTCGGCAGGGCTGCCCTTTGTCGCCGGTTCTGTTCATAATTTTATGGACGGAATTTCTAGGCGCAGCCTGGGGCCAGAGGGTGTCAGGTTTGGGGACCGCACGATTTCGTCTCTGCTCTTTGCGGATGATGTTGTCGTGTTGGCCCCTTCACACCTGGACCTTCAGCATGCACTGGGGAGGTTTGCAGCCGAGTGTGAAGCGGCTGGGATGAAAATCAGCACCTCCAAATCCGAGGCCATGGTCCTCAGTCGGAAAAGGGTGGCTTGCTCACTTCAGGTTGGTGGAGAAATCCTTCCTCAAGTGGAGGAGTTTAAGTATCTTGGGGTTTTGTTCACGAGTGAGGGAAGGATGGAACGGGAGATTGACAGACGGATCGGTGCAGCTTCTGCAGCAATGCAGTCGATGTACAAGTCTGTTGTGGTGAAGAAGGAGCTGAGCCGTAAGGCAAAGCTCTCGATTTACCAGTCAATCTACGTTCCTACTCTCACCTATGGTCATGAGCTTTGGGTCATGACCGAAAGGACAAGATCCCGGATACAGGCGGCCGAAATGAGCTTTCTCCGCAGGGTGGCTGGGCGATCCCTTAGAGATAGGGTGAGAAGCTCGGTCACTCGGGAGGAGCTCAGAGTAGAGCCGCTGCTCCTCCACATCGAGAGGGGTCAGCTGAGGTGGCTCGGGCATCTGTTCCGGATGCCTCCTGGACGCCTTCCTGGGGAGGTGTTCCGGGCACGTCCCACTGGGCGGAGGCCCCAGGGAAGACCTAGGACACGCTGGAAAGACTATGTCTCCCGGCTGGCCTGGGAACGCCTCGGTGTCCCCCCAGAAGAGCTGGAGGAAGTGTCTAGGGAGAGGGAAGTCTGGGCATCTCTGCTTAGACTGCTGCCCCCGCGACCCGGCCCCGGATGAAGCGGAAGAAGATGTATGTATGTATGTATGTATATATATATATATATATATATATATTTGTAACATCTCAGTAATAATTTTTTGTAATTTCATTGCTTTACTCTACATTTACATTACATTTACATTTATTCATTTAACTGACGCTTTTATCCAAAGCGACTTACAATTGCTATATATGTCAGAGGTCACACGCCTCTGGAGCAACTAGGGGTTAAGTGTCTTGCTCAGGGACACATTGGTGTCTCGCGGTGGATTCGAACCCGGGTCTCTCACACCACAGGTATGTGTCTTATCCACTGCACCATCACCAACTCTATTATTGAGAATGGCATATTTAATCTGTATTTATCAGTTTTTATATAAAACTATATGTATGATATAAACCCCCTTTAATAATAGACTTGCCATTAAAAAAAGGTTACTGTATTCCATAACACCCTCTTTCTGTTATACTGTATACTGAAAACATATAGGCTAACCTCTGACAATTTAACATCATAATAAAATTTAAAAAGAATTATTACAATATTACTATGAGCACATCATTCTATGGAGGTTTACTTTGCTAGTAACTTTTTAAAGCTGTACTAATTAGCAATTTAATTTGTTAGCATGCTAAGTATTAGAAATCTGAGAATATAACTAACACAAACATTACAAATGTTATTGTGATCATTAGTAGCTTTGTATACATGTATCATTTAAAAAATAAATTAACTGGCATATTGTGATGTTAGCGCCACATAAATCAACAAGCGATAATGTATGATTCAGCAGGCACTTAGTAGAATACCCCAAAGAGTTATATTAGCCAATCTGTTAATGTAGTGTATTTTACCTGTAATATGATAAACAGAGTTGAAGCCGATCCCGAATCTCCCGACTTTAGTTGGGTCATCCTGCTTGATGCTTCTGCCAACTCTCTGGATTCCCTCCCAGTCTTTCTCTGTGAAGGTGGCATCATTGAAGGCATAGAGAGCCGGCCCTGCCAGAGCAAAGATACAAACAGATAAAGGATTTTGAAGGCCGATACCGATACAAATATTTTTGGGTTTTAAAATCCGATATTCCGATATATCGGCCGATATTTTTTAATTTTTTTTATTAAATATTGTTGGATTTCACACACGTGTAAAAGAAAAGCTAACTTTTCTGCACAAGATACGTTTGATACTTTTTCTCTATGTCTAAATGTTCACTCCTCGCAAGTATAACTTACATTTTACAATGCAGGGACTGTAACTAGAGATATGCTAGTTATAAATACAGTAATAATTACTTTATTTAGGCAGAAAAAGTTCATTGTTGTTCCCAAGCTCATTAATGTTAACGTTAGCGGTCTTCCACTGATGATAGTGGCATTAGCTAGCTTTGTGGTTAGCTAGTCTATGATGAGCCATAATTTAGCAATAGATGACATCATACTGCAAATTGTAAAACATACATTTTTTTAATATAACAGGCCAAGGAGAGATGATTGAAGTGTGTTTCATCCGTTTTTATTTTATTTTTAAATATTCATTTATCGGCCATTATAACTGCCGATACCGATATTATGGAAAATGCCGGCCGGGCCGATATATCGGTCTGGCTCTACAGATGATCATACAAAAATGGCCAAACAACTTTGAAAATAACACACTTTGCCTATAGCACAGTAAAGACTTTCAGGATCTGTACAAATACTAGTCATGACTAGGGTTGGGTATCGTTTTTAATTTTAGCGATTCCGATTCTGCTTATTGAACCCGGTTCTTGTCAATTCTTGTTTCCGATTCCAATCGTTTTTTGGAAAGAAAAGGGAAATACTTGTGGGAAATACAAGTGTTTTAATCAAACAGATCTCATTCCCCATTGACTAGTCAAAGTTCATATAAACATTTTTGTTCATATAAAATATACCACATTGTCATGTCCTAGACTTGTTATATTTAGCTTTAAATGATAATAAAAAAAAATTCCCCCTTAACATTGTGACAGTTTTTTTCTCTGTGGTATCGAAAATGGTATCGAATATCGATATTTTTCAAGGTATCGTATCGAAGTTAGAAATTTTAGAATCGTGACAACACTTTTAGGCATGGTAAATATAGTATTTGCGGTAAATTAAGAAAACGAGATTTAAACAAACAGACTAACTGTGCTGAGCTGTATAACAATGATTAGTTTTCTGTCGATTAAAGTATCCAAACAGTTGTTCACCTGTAAAACACAATGGGCACTATTTTAACGATCTGAAACACAAGTGTCAAAGCGCAAGTAACTTTGTGGGCGGATCCCGGCGCTGTTGCTATTTTCCCGGCGGGATAAATGCCTCTTGCGCCTGGCGCAAATCTAAAAGGGGTTGGTCTGAAGTAGCTTCATTATTCATAGGTGTGGTTTGGGCGTAAAGGAAATAAACCAATAAGAGCATCATATCACATTCCCTTTAAGAGCGTGAAGAATAGGGTTGGGTATCGAGAATCGAGTATCGATTGGAACCGAGACTAACTTTTCGTTTTTCCCGGAATCGTTCAAAACTTAAAATTTCGATTCCTAGTTTCGATATTCACAGTCCGCCGAGCGGAAGAAGAAACCGCTGAACAACACCAACGAAGAAGCTCCTACCGGAAGTGTTGGCATAACCACGCGAGTCGAACATGAGTAGCTTACGTCGGCGATCCAAAGTGTGGCTTCACTTTTCTAAAAATAACGAAATCTCGGCAAAATGCAAAATTTGTGACAAAAGGAGTATTTGTGACAGAAGGAGTATTTCCTTCAGAAAGGCCGTTGGTTAGCAAGGTTAGCTAAACTTTTTTGACCCTGCCTCTTAAAAGAATCGGAATCGAGGATCATTAGGAACCGGAATCGAAACAAGGAATCGGAATCGGAATCAGAATCGTTCGAATTCAAACGATGCCCAACCCTAGTGAAGAACGAGGTGCGCTTGTTCCATGGCGCAATACTATTTTAACAGCGCACTTACCAGGCGCGCTTCACAATCGGTTCACAGCCGAGGAGATCGATGTTCTCGTCAGGGCCGTAAAAGAAAGAGAAGTGACATTGGGGATGGGACAAACCCACCCAAATTAGCTTCGGTTAAACATGCAAATAATAATTTGGGTAAATGTGTAAGCTTTATGCCTATTTTTCCCCATTATCATGGACACAACAATGATTTCCCTCGTGTTTATATATTTTTCCTTACAATAATGTATCATTTGCAAAAAGTAAAATGCATCTGTGTAGCTGAGAGAATCATCTACAGTGTATGCGCGTTGTTCATACTCTGTATTATGGCCAAGCAGGCGCACTTAAAATAGCATCTGAATGTACACGCAACGCGCCACTGACTTTAGACCAGGTTTTTTTCTGGTCATTGGCGCAATTGTTTTCTGGAACTGCAAAATAGCACCAGGGATTGTTTGTGCCGACACACGCCTCCTTTTGCGCCAACCCGCCCAGGGAGCGCAAGTTCATTTCCTAGTTTACTGACGTGCGTCTGTGGAGGAAAAAAATCCGCTTTGCGCGAGTGCAAAATAGGAATGATAAATGCGTCAGTGTATAAAGTCATTTGCGCCGGGTGCAAGATAGAGCCCAATATATTAAAGCATCTTTGGTGTGCTATTTTCTCTGCATTTAAACATTCTTACGTACATTTGCGATAATCTAAGGATAACGCAACAAAATATAAAACATTGTTTAAGTGGTTTTTGGATATTTTGATCTACACTTTAGTTACTTGATTTACACTCTATGTTATTACTGCATACTGTGTGATGTACAACACTGAGGTGAAAATGCCATCTGCCGCTATAAAAAATTATAAATAGCATCTAACTAGCTTACTATTTAAATTTATTCCCAGAAAATACTGCAATTTTAACCTAGTGTAATTGCTTAGGGCAAATGGCTGATACCAAAAAGTTTGATTTTGTATAAAAAAAACCTGTAACTTTCAGAAGTTTCCCATTAAAAAAAGGACAGAAGGTATAGTTGCAAAACTCTTCATGGTTGTGACATATGAATGAGGACAAATGTTAAACCTTAGACTGTAATATCTTTCTATAGTAATTTTATAAAGTTTAAGTCTAGTGTGATTTAAATCTACTTCCAGTGTTTACAACACAAATACCTTGATACTTCCCGAGCTCTTCAGTCCACAGGCTCTGAGTCTCATAATGTCTCTCATCATGAATAAACACCACACGTGAAGCTCCTGCATCATCTGCATTCTGGATCAGCTCCTGGTACGTTACAGGATTATTATTAAAGACAGATATGATGTGATATATACATACCATTTAACAATGATGCAAAAAGATTCATGCAATATTTAAACCTTTTTTAGTCTACCTTCAATATTTGTCCTCCATCTGGGTACCTTCTCAAAATTTCTTTCACGTAATCAATGAATGGTGGAGACGTCGCACCAAATTTCTTTCTGTGTTAAACAATGTAAAGTTTATCACAAACTGCACAAAACACATACAGAGAAAATTCAAGGTTCATGTAATTCGTCTGTTCAGTTTTGTTTGTTCTTAGTTTCTGTTTTCCTGGACTTTCAGTTTGTTTTCATCATTTACATGTGTTTCTTATATACGTAGTTACATACTTCCTGTAACACATGTGTACTTGCTATTGTAAAAAAAGTGTTGTTACTAATATCCTGTTACACATTTACAATTGTAGATAATATGTACCAATGTGTACTTTCAATGTAATTACATATATGCACACATCTAGTTACCATGTAAGTTCACAGGTATAAGGGCCACTTAATATAAAGGGGGACCCTACTATTAACTAACAAGAAACTCTGATTAGTGAATTAGTAAGTAATATCACTCAGTTGAAGGAGGTACTTCACTATAGCTAATCAATAACTACTATTTATTTCATTCTTCTCAGATAACTACAAAAAAAAATAGAATATAATGGTTCATAATAATGTGAATAATGCACCATGTATAATTATTTCTAAAATTAAGATTATGGCAACCCACTAGTAATGACTCAATTCTTACCAAAGCATGATATCTATATACAGTAGTAATAACTAGAGTCATTGTAAACTTTTGAGGGTTTTGTAAGATTTTGGATAGTGATGACTCAAGTGTAACTACATTCTTCTAACATAATGAATAATTATTTGAATCAGTACTTATTCTAAAGTGAAAAACATGATAACTCACAAGTAATAACTGCAGTGTTTCCAAATCCATCAGAAGGAATCACTATTCAAAACCTTGTAAACCCTTCAAAAGGTTACAATGACTTCAGTAATTACTAGTGAGTTATTATGTTTTTCATTTGGGAATACTGTTACAAATAATTACTGATTAACTTCTCAACAATAAAATATTAGTTAAGCATGAACACACTAGTAATGAATGATTAACTAAAGATATTGTAAAGACATATTAGTCATTATTTACAATTTATTGAACATTCGAAGGATCCACATAATACGCTACTGGAGGGGGTGGATTCTGGAATCCAATTCTGCTTCAATGTATATCTAATGAGTGATTATAATCAAGATACTAATGAATATTTTTCCTTCTAAAAATCACATGACTTCTATAGGCTTAGGAGATTTTACTTGTGATTGTATTCTCTAATGTCTGTATTTGATGCCAGGAATGCATAAACAGTGCTTGCTCATGTCATGTAGCACGGCTTCCAGAAATTACATATGGACTTATTTTGTGTTTGAGAAAGGTCTTCAACGTGTTAAAACAAACAGGGGTAATTGAAGTCTATAGTTTGACTATTTCTATTTCTCAGTTAAAGCCTGACTTTACTGTTAGACTAAAGTGTCCTCTCCTTGAGAGAAAGAATGCATTATAGAACGCATATACTCTCTTACTTCTATCAAATGCTCTATAGAATTTGAAGCTCCGCACCCCCACATTATAATTAGATAATGAAGCTGCAGAGCATAGGGCACTATAATATAATGGATAATGAACAATTCAGACAATGTAAATATGCTTTCCATTGGGGCGAAGGAAGTCTGGTTTCACGTTACTGTCACACACACAGTATTCTCCGGGCCAGAGTACGATAGTACAGAGTTGGCGCAGACCAGAAAATGTCTCCTGTTACTATTGTAACCTCGGTTCCCTGAGAGGCAGGATCGAGGCATTGTGTAGCAACACTGCGGGAACTCCTCCTTTATCCACTTTTGTTTAAATCTATAGCGACAATTGCGTCAGAATCATGACTGAATGCTGCACAGCTGATCGAACAGCGAACACGGCGGTTAACACAATGTTTACCATTTATTAATAGAACAGGGTTTCGATTCAAATTTCAAGAATCGATTCGATTCCGATTCTCAAAATCTTGAATCGATTATCATTATTCGATTCGATCCGATCTTCGAGATTTAGATAATTGTTTTTGAAAAAAGCATTTTTTCCAGCTGTTACCTGCCCAGATAGCAAACTGACATTGAATCAACGTGGAAATATGACATCGAAACAACGTTGATCTGACATTGTTTTGCTCATCGAATTAACGTTGAACCAACGTCAGATGCGTCATTCTTTCAAAACTAACAGAAAATCAACTTGAAATCAACGCGTTGTTTCAACGTTAAGCAAACCAATTTTCGATTTCATTTAGCTTTGAAGAATGCCGCGTCTGACGTTGGTTCAACGTTAATTCGATGAGCAAATCAACGTTGTTTCAATGTCATGAGAGACGTCGTTTCCACGTTGATTCAATGTCAGTTTGCTGTCTGGGTGAATTACAGGACTGTAGTTATGCAACATATTGATACTATTATTATAGACATTTAACTGCAAATTATGTAGTATTGATTGTTGTAAAGAACAATCCCTCTTCCGTGTTGATACAACTGCTTTCACTAACTTGCACTGGTGTAGACGACAGAGGACGCAGAGGTATATCAGCAGGAGGATTGCAAGTAACCGCAGGAACCGTGATATTAATGTTTTTATAAGGCTATACCCTTCTTGTTTTGAACTTCTTCATGCATGTGTATTGAATGTTAGACAAGTTCATAATGATAACGAGACTGTTTATCGTGGTGATGTGTAGCCTAGGCTTCGCACAGAGAGTGAATTAAAGAGATCAGCAGAGCGCGTGCGATTACCTGCGTCTGTCTTTGAAGTCATATGTATTCGCGGAAAGCTTGCCGTGCCGTGTCAAAGGAACGTGAAATAGTTGTCGAATCATCCTTTTAACGTTCACGTTACGGGTATTTACCATAAATGCGCGTCAGCAGCAGCGCTGATCAGCATCCCACAGCACGAGGAAGCCGCGGAGAAATAAAATCAGTGAGTCACGCATTTTGAATCAATGCCATTTGCCCATGCGACGCATTGCTGCTCAGCTGAGCCTTAAGTGGAACTCAAAGTTAAAAATAATTAACACCTTGAAGTTGTTTCATTACATCTATTTTAATGAATCTGCTTTTTTGAAACGTGTTCGTTGAATGAACGGTTTAATGAATCAAAGTCCATTGTCGTAACAATGTGTCGTAACAATGTGATCACTTGCGGCAAGTTAAAGTTCACGGGGAAAATGTAGACCTATAATAAATCGATTCTCTGAGCTACGGATCGATCTTTAGAAATTAATATGAAATTTTTTCAGATTTTTTCAACACAGCACTATTTATTAAACAAAATATTTACCATTTAACACAATGTCTCGTTCCCGCCTCTCAGTGAACGCATATACTCTCAGGTGTGGGGCGGGTCGATGGAGCCTGTACAAATCCTGAAAGGTTAGCCATCGGATGTGAGGAAGAAAATGTAACTAGTCCTCAGGTGCAGCTTAAACGATGACAGTGTGAAGAAAGAGATTCTGACGCAATTGTCGCACCCATGCATTTTTATACTGCCCACGTGTCACGGAACGGGTTGGGGACAAGGTGTGAGGACTCAGTGCAAACAATGGGTATTTATTAAGAAAATAATAACCCATAAAACAAGAACAAAAACTCCCTCGTGGGGGAAAACTAGACAGAAAACAGGCAGGATACAAGATACACTAAAACAAGATTAACATGAACCAGGGTATCATGGACAACGAACCAGCACAGTACTGAGAACACAAGGAGATTAAATAGAGAGGCAAACAAAGGAGGCTAACGAACAGAAAGGTGGGGCAAATGAACCAATAATGAGATAACAATGACAAGAGAACACATGGTACTAAACAACAAAACACCCAAGTGCAACACAAGACAGGACAGGCATGTGACACCACGAGCCTATCAGTTTTGCATACTTCACAACAATTGGCCAGCTGTTCTAAGCTGGCATTAGCCAATAAGATTACAACAAATGTGGAAAAGGGAGGAGTTCCAACAGAGTAGCAACTCAATGTAGAGTTACCGCTTTCGAAGGGGAACTTATCAGACCCATTTGAATTCTGCACAGAATGCTGTATTTTAAAGTGATTCGGAGGAAATTAGCAGGTGAAATGGTTAGAGATTAGCTAGGTGCTCTGGCTAGGTGTGATTTAAACGAAACACTATTGGCCATTTTTAAAAATGGGAGGAGCTGACCGATATGCCCCGCCCTGTCTTCCTGTTTCAGTGGACATTGAATAATGCTGCATGTTTCAAGGCACTCAGAAGGACTGCATACAGGGATAATTAACGTAACCAGGAACACGTGTGAACTCAATCAAAAAACATGGAGACAAACTAGCAAAGGGAACACAGGCAAACAGTGAATAATCATTACTAAAACATACAGTGAATAAAACCACATACTTCTTTTTCTGCTTTTCCCTCGATGCTGAACTTCTTGCCCTTCTTTTCATTCTGCTGTGTGGTTAAAAAATGTTACCGTTTAAAAAACAATTAACTTCCAAATTCTCCAATTTATTAAAATAAGTATTTTTCGATCAGTTATTCCATGGAAACGGTTATAATACTGCAAATGCAATCTCTCTTTTTATACAAATTTAAGTAGTTAGTTTACCTTGCTTTCTTTGGTCTCCTGTGACCTCCAGATTAAACACAGATCTGCTCATAGTACATACACCTCACAGAATCTGCAAAAATATATATATATATTTGAAAAAACAAAATGCATTTTGTTCCTTATTTTGTACTGCACTGAATAAGCTAAACAGCATAACATATTTTTCCATATAGTCCACAAGAGAAAATAATTGCTGAATTTACACAACTGGACTATTTAAAAGTTTACGTTCTACTTGAATCTTATACTGTGTGTTGTTGGTTGATCTACAAATGTTTTCATGTTTTGTGATGGTTCTTCATGAGTCTAGCAGTGAAACGTCTCAGGTTACGACTGTAACGCTGGTTCCCTAAAGAGGGACCAAGACTCAGCGTCGATACGCTGTGGGAACAGTTATAGTGAAATAAATTTGACACGTCATATTCTGTGATCTCAGATTAATAGGCCTATGCATTTGTAAGGAAAAACTGTAGGATCTTCAACATTAATGGGTAATTATAGTTAATAGTAATAAGAATAAAGATGTCTATCATACAATGAGCTCTGCTGCCGCCATCTTTCCTTCCAACACCTCAAAATACGTAACATATATACATTCCCAAAGCCAATTAATGTCATGAGACCTCCCCGGAGACGCCATCTTTAATGGCATAAGCTGCTGTGTTTACAAAGTTTTACCAGAGAATGTCATTTTAAAAGCAAATATTTATTTCTGTTTATAACGTTACACAAATAATGAAGAGACAAAGTGAAAGAGATTATAAAGAGACTCTATTAACACAAGACAGAGAGAGGTACAATGCCAAAATTTCATTCATAAATGGTGTGGATCTGTAGTAACGGAGGAAGCACTGAGCACCGATGCAGCTTTGCCTCAGATACAGTATTTTCATGTGTACCATTATCTGGTATTGGCTAGGAGTTTTTACACATGCGAGCCTGGAAATCACTGGAGGCGTACATTTGCTGAGGGTTGGGTTGGTGATGTTTGATTGACATTGACAAGTGCAATCAATGGAAAAGTAACTTAGTCATCATAACGAAGTAACATGATGCTATTTGTTTATTAAAAAGCCATAGCCCAATTCCTGTGTTCCCCTTAAAACAGTCACCGGTGCTTTCTGTAATATGCATGTACTTATTTGTACACTGAAGTATAGGGGTGTGGAACGGTACATGTATACTTATTGAAACAAACCGGTGTGGGCGTCATGGTTCGGTGCATGAATATAAAAATAAATAAAACTTGTGTGTGTGTGTGTGTGTGTGTGAGAGAGAGAGAGAGAGTCGCGGGAGTGATCGAACAGTGGAAACAATGTTGTTTTGTATGTTTTTAATACAAATAATACAAAATACAAATACAAATACAAAACATTTTTAATAGTGCTTTGGAGTGCTTTGAATACCATGGAGTACCATGGTGTGCTTTGAATGTGATAAGGAGGATCTTGTAGTTAATTCTAAAGCGTACCGGTAGCCAATGAAGTCTGCGTAAAATCGGAGTGATGTGGGAAGATTTCTTAGTGTATGTGAGGACCCTAGCTGCAGAGTTCTGTATGTATTGGAGTTTATTTATAGAGGAGTCGGGTAAGCCATAGAAGAGAGAATTGCAGTAATCAAGCCGTGATGTGATGAAAGCATGAACCAAAGTTTCAGCATCGCTGATGTTCAGAAATGGACGCAAACGCGCGATATTACGAAGGTGAAAGAAGGCTGACTTAGTGAGAGAGGAAATGTGTGGAAGGAAGGAAAGAGAGGAATCAAAGATTATACCAAGGTTTTTAACAGTAGTGGAAGGTTGAACCGAAACTCCAGCAATGTGAACATTGCTAACACAGAAACGGGGTGTGATTCGAGGTGAGCCAATAAGAAGTAGATCTGTTTTGTCGCTGTTGAGCTTGAGAAAATTACTAGTCATCCAGGCATTTAAATCATCAATACAGGCTGATATGGAATTTGTGGGAAAAGAAGAATTGCATTGAGAATGAATGTATAGTTGGGTGTCATCAGCATAACAGTGGAATTTAAAGCCATGATGACGGATGATGTTACCTAATGGGAGCATGTAGATGATGAAGAGAAGAGGCCCAAGAACAGAACCCTGGGGAACACCGTGTGGGACAGAGAGAGTAGTGGACTTAGCCTGGCGAATGGAGATGTAATGCTGGCGGTCGGACAGGTAAGAAGTGACCAAGTTAGTGCAGTTCCAGAAACACCAATAGCAGAGAGTCGCGAGATGAGAATACTGTGAGAGATTGTGTCAAATGCAGAAGGAATATCAAGAAGAATTAGAATACTAGTGGAGCCGGAGTCGGTGGCCAAGAGGAGATCATTGACAACCCTGAGAAGTGCTGTTTCAGTGCTGTGGAGGGTGCGGAAAGCAGATTGAAAACATTCGTAGTGGTTGTTAGCTGACAAGTGTGTTTGAAGTTGGGCAGAGACCACCTTCTCGAGCAGTTTCGATAGAAATGGTAGATTTGAGATTGGTCTGAAATTGGCCATGTTGGTGGGGTCAAGGCTGTGTTTCTTTAGGACAGGAGTGACAGCAGCAGTTTTTAATTCCAGAGGAACAGAGCCAGTACTTAGTAGTTGGGAGATGAGAAGTGAAATCGGCAGAGAAATCACGGATGCACATTTTTTCAGTAAAGTAGTAGGAGCAGGATCAAGATGACAGGAAGATGTGTTTGCTTTGTTGATTAGCTCTGAGATATAAGCAGGGGTTGGGGGGGCAAAATTAGTGAGAGTACCAGGTGTAAAAGCAGTGGGGAAGTCGTGTGTGTAGACAGGCGAGATCATGGATGGGAAATGATTGTGAATGCTATCAGTTTTATTTTGAAAGAAATGAAGGAATGATTCACAGAGGTCTGCCGGGTTACTAATGACAGGTGCAGGAGGGTTGGTGAGTTTATTGACCACCGAAAACAGTGCTTTGGGACGTGAGGACGCATTATTAATAATAGTAGAAAAGTAACTAGAGCGTGCAGTGTTTATAGCAGATTTGTACAATTGGATATGGTCAGTGTAAGCAGTAAGATGAACAGTCAAACCAGTTTTCCTATAAAGGCGTTCAAGACGACGACCAGCTGTTTTTAGCTTGCGAAGTGCAGGGGTAAACCAGGGAGATGTGTGTGTAGAAGGTACAACTCTACTTGGAGTCTAATGACGGGTATACTGTGAAATCCCAATTTAACTGAACCTCCGGCACGATTTTATCATCCATTGACCCAGCAGGTGAAGACCATTTTCACTGTTTAGCATGAAACTCATTTCACTTCGTTTAACTCGTATTGCTTCTTCTAATGTTCTGCTCTCAGCAATGGCGGCGGGTCGGCAAATGCCCGTATGCTGTGACGTCATGTAGGAACTATGTAAAGCCTATCGCTGTGTCCCAATTCAGGGGCTGCATCCTTTGAAGGTCGTGTCATTCGAAGTGCGCTGTCTTCAAAGGCCGCACCGAGACTCGATTAACGGATGAAAGTATAGCTGACTGCGTCCCCGCGGCGTGGCGAAGGCTGTTCCAATTCGAAGGTCCTTCAAAATGCGGCCTGCAAATCAGGCCCGGTTCTAGTACCAAATCACTGAGGGTGCTTTTGAAAATAGTGAGGGTGCTCAAAATAGAGCCGAGCGATACCTATTGTCCACGACAATATTGTTGTTATGTTAAACATAACATATGCGATATCCATGATCAAGTAGCCTATGTCCCTGTATGAGTTTTTGTCCTTTGGCGTCCCCACCAGGTTTCGTCATTAATTTTGTACCCACCACTTTTGGAAACTTTGAGGCACGGATGTTGGCTACCTACTACAAATAAAACATTTGTTAACTAGCAGAGCATTCATTTAGTTGACTCAAATAATAGATCTAGCGCTTAACTTTGATGTTTTTTAAATCAAGCCGAGCGCTTGTTGCCGCTGCTGTCAGTTGCATGGATAGGGCATGCAGTGCTCTCTTGTGGCTCGGTGGGCTCTATGCATTTGTACAGTAATCTTTTTAACAAAAGGGCATTGAAACCTAAAACAATTGCAACATTTGCTTAAATTTTGGGGATCTTAAATCCTCTTGTTTCATGTAGTGGTGCTTATTATTACCCTCTTGTTTCATGTAGTTACGACAAATTTACGGGCCGTAAATTCAAGGAGAACTCCGGCGCAAAATGAATCTTTGGTCTAATTACACATTGGCACCTAGTCGACCGTTCTCTGAGATTTTTTTTCATGAAAATCGAATGTAAAGAGTTTTATCTCTAAAAACGGGAGCGTGATCGGCTCGGAATGCATTTGCACATTGAATTTTGCTGCATTCATTGTGAGACATGTGAAAATGCAATCGCTAGTGTCTTAACTGTGAGTGTGAATGCACTTAAATGCACTGCATTTAAATTAGGGGTGTGCACGAATATTCGATATGTAATTATTATTCGAAAAATAAAATTCTATTCGAATTTTTAATACGTTGTTTCGCTGGCCGTAAATGCAGTGAGTCCATCCTAAGCACTAACTCGCAGTTATAATTAAATGCACTGGATGGCGCTGTGGAGTGCGGTAATAAGTTGCTTGTATTTGATCACATGTCGTCTGCCTCGCGAAGTTTGGAATTACTTGAAAAGGATCTTACTCGACGGAATCACTTTTGATCAAATTAATTAATCTGATTTAATCTTATAGTATCATCACCATGAGAAATCACATGCAATCCAAACAGTTGAGTGAGAGAAGACAGCTGTCCATCATCACGACGGCAGGTAAGCAGCTGGACCCCGCGTGATCCAAGATGTTAACTTCTAATAGCAAAATGATTTTGAGACATACTTCCTTTAAGTTTCGTTGAGGGAGACCGGTTTAAGAACAGAAAATGCAAAGTGCTGTTAGAAACACCGTTCTCTTTTTGTGTCTCTGAAACGTGTGTCAGCGCAGCGTCTTTTCTCACTTGAGCATAAAGTGCTGGCGGCGCCCCTGCATGTAGATATTATTGTTTTTCTCAACATAAACGTGAAACAATATAAACACGACAATCAATCATTTGCTGACTCCTGTGTATGTGTGTACGTACGATATCTGACGCAATTTGCTTTATTAGGCTTTTTTTTCGCTCGCGCTGTTGAGCATGCTTTTAATAATGCTTATATATATTTTTTTTGTTTACACATAGGCCTACTGTTTAATGTTTTCAACTAAAAGAAAATTTTAATATATATGGTAAGCTTGTTGTGTATTGCCTAATTTTGTAAGCTTGTCCAGAAATGGTGACAAAAACGTAAAAAAAAACCAACTATAAATTATAATTAATAATAATAATAATAATAATTTAAAATAAACGAATATTCGATGTATATGAGCCCGAATATTCGAATGCAATATTTTTTGAAAAAAGCCCATCCCTAATTTAAATGATAATTTTGCTAAAGTTTTTGCTTGAACGTGTTAAAATATCATTTCTGTAATACATTTTAATTTTGTGTAACTTATAAAGCGTTAAAATATGTATTCATTCTACATATTAAAACTAGGGTATTGGCAAATGTAAACTAATTGATTTTTCAATTATTATCCGTTTCTCTGAATAGAGTGCCGCAGAGTGCCGAAGTTACGACGTCACTCTGTAGGCCAAAACGCGGAAGTGAGTTAGCATTTTAGCATTACGGTTCCCTCGCTCTAAAGCCTATGGGATTTTTGAATGGGTTTTTGCTAAATCGCCTGAAATAAGGTCTGTGGTGAAGAGAGCCTCTAAATATTTTCACGTTTTGATCTATGACATAGAACACACATTTATAACCTGCTTGTGGTTTTTTAAACTTTTTTGTGTCTGATTGTGTTTTTTAAAATCTTTATATAGGCTTCAAAATGTATACATTTTGGATTACTTTGTAAAGATTATCTTGCTAGACAAAACGTGTAAGGGTCATAACCCTTTGTTAAACACAGATCTTATTTTTTGCGATTTTCCAAAAGTCTATGGGGAAAATGCATTGCTTGTCGACCGAGGGAACCCATGCGCCGCTAGCTTCCGGGTTGTCCTACAAAGTGACGTCATCACTTCGGCACTCTATACCCGGCTATGTAAACGTAACCTCAGTGTATTTTAAGATGAACCGGTTTTGCCGGTTTGCCAAACCCACAGGAGGATGCTAGGCTGCGGTTGCCTACATTTGCAACTGAAATTTCACAACTGAGTTTATTTTTCCAAAACTTTTCCAGGCCCGGAAATTGCTATTTTAAAATTTCATGAATTTTCCAGGTTTATCATGACCGTAAAAACCCTGTTTTTTAGACATCTCGTTATTATGAACATAATTTTAAAGCGCATTTTCCAAAATAAAATCATGAATGATCTGTTTGTAAAATACATGATTGATATTTGCTTCATCATTGGATAGGCTACTGATAGGCTACAAAAAGTTTGTGATCGGTAAGATTTTTAATGTTTTTATAGACCATTTCAAAAGATGTAAACAACACTGGTCCAGAAGCACTTCCTGTTTCAGTTTGTAACTGTTTTCTTTATTTCACATGTAAAGAAAACATCTTAAAGATGTTTGTTTAACTTTTTGATTCAGTTTTAAATGTTCTGTTGGTTGTATTTTATCCCACCCAGATAACAAACTGACATTGAATCAATGTGGAAATATGACATCGAAACAACGTTGATCTGACATTGTTTTGCTCATCGAATTAACGTTGAACCAACGTCAGACGCGTCATTCTTCAAAACTAACGGAAAATCAACTTGAAATCAACGCGTTGTTTTAATGTTATGAAAGCAAACCAATTTTCTATTTTCATTTAGCTTTGAAGAATGCCGCGTCTGACGTTGGTTCAACGTTAATTCGATGAGCAAAATCAACGTTGTTTCAATGTCATGAGAGACGTCGTTTCCACGTTGATTCAATGTCAGTTTGCTGTCTGGGCAGCTTTTATGTAGTGTTAAAAAACTGAAACAGGAAGTGCTTCTGGACCAGTGTTGTTTACATCTTGTGAAATGGTCTATATGAAGTCTCTTCTGCTCACCAAGGTTGTAATATTGTAAAATATAATCTCAATTTAAATCATCTGTTCTCTATGTGAATATATAGTAAAGTGTAATGTATTCCTGTGATGAAAGCTGAATTGTTCAGCATCATTACTCCCGTTTTAAGTGTCACAATGATCCTTCAGAAATCACTCTAATAGGCCTAGATGATTAAGAAACAGGTATGATTATTATCAGTGTTGAAAATATTAAAGTATTAAAGCGCTTGAACCTCGACGACTGATATTAAATGAATTTTAAAGATTGTTTGTAAAGACATGTTTTCCAGAAGAGGAATTCAAAAAGTTGTGGACTATAAAAATATGCTATGTAAAATTGCTTATTAATACTTTAGATTAATAAGAGAACAAAATGCCATTTTTATGATCCCTCTTTTTTACTTTTTAAATATAAAATACATATAATTTATTTTATATTGTTGAGATATACCCTTTTACATGATGTATTAGCCTATATTAAAAAACTTGTAAACTCCTACATGCGGTTATCTCCTACCTTCAGTGGACCTGATGCAGAGAATGCAGCGATGAGAATGAGTCTGGTAAGACACCGCTCAGCGCGAGCTTTCTCTATGTTTCTGTTCACTAGAAAGATCCCGTTTAGCGCAAACGAAACTTACACTCATCCTTCACTCATTTAGAGGCTTCGACACAATCCGACACCCGTCTCAACGGCGACACCTAGTGGTCACTTGCAGGTGTTGATCTGAAACAACCTTGATAACGACCCATTAAAAATGTAATTTCTCACTTTATATAGATTTTTATTCAAAAATATTAATTTCTCTGCTGTCGAAGGACTTAACCTACTTTTTTTTCAGATAATTTCTCCTGTCTTTGAAAAAAAATCCTCTCACAGTTGGACACTTGTTGCTGGCATGCAAGATATTTGTGATCCATAAATCTATTAGGAAAACCAAAATGATGTCTTGGCTGTATTTGTAGACCTATAAACTATTCACAAAGTAGGCTATTATATTATATTGACAAGATATTATATTATATTCACAGTGAATCTATCTATCTATCTATCTATCTATCTATCTATCTATCTATCTATCTATCTATCTATCTATCTATCTATCTATCTATCTATCTCTATATATAGCCTATATATATATATATATATATATATATATGTATCAGAGTTTCTGCTAGCAGTGTTGTAGTCGAGACCACCTCACTCGAGTCCGAGTCGAGACCGAGACCAGAGAGAGTCGAGTCCGAGTCAAGACCGAGTCCATAGAGAGTCGAGTCCGAGACCAGAGACTGTCGAGTCCTAATCGAGACCGAGACCAGTGAGGGTTGATTACCTAATTTACTTTTATTTACTTAGAGAAATCCTTTTTTTTTTTTTTTTTTTTTTTACTGAATTTACTTAGAGTTTAAAAAATATGATCAGTTTAGGGTAAAAAGGCCACATAGTAGGTGGTGTTAAAAGCAATTTTATTACAATTTGTCTTGCGCAGTTGCGCACTACAAAATCACCAATCACTGGATGTGTCAATCAATTTAAAGAAATATTTTATTAACATACATTAATAATCATGAAAAATATTTTGAATTGAACTCGAGTGGACTCAGGAATAAGTCCGAGTACTAAAAAAAAAAATGTTCGAGTACGAGTCAATTCCGAGTCCAAATGCACACGAGTCCATGACAAGACCGAGACCATTAAAATATGGTCTCGAGACCGAGTCCGAGACGAGTCCGAGTCTCGAGTACTACAACACTGTCTGCTAGAAAAAAAAAAGAGTAGTATGAAGCTGCAGACTCGGAGACCTGCATCTACATTCCCCCTGCACCCAGAGTCCCGCATTCTCAGACCCCTCGTTTTTCGAGACAGCGCCTCCTATCAAATTGTATCGGATAAACATGTGAAGAACATGTGAAGAACTTAAGCCAAAACATGAGTAGGTTATCTTCAATTTTATTTAGCGAATCGTAGTAGCCTACTCGTTTGATTTATTTTTTAATAAAACTAATTTAGCTCATCGATACAACATACGAATAGTCCATTTAATATTTGTAAAGATAGTTTGTAACAAGATTTGAGCCGTTAATGTATGTTTTTTCGCCCTCTTCCCCCCGAAAATATAGCTTACGTTTACGTTAGCCTTTAACCTTGGACTTTTTGTAGAAATGTCATAAATGGTGCAGTTATTTTCACTGCCCATTTTGTGACCCCATAATACATTTCAAACCCACAAAGTTGTCCAAATTTCAAAAACATCTCAAAGGACACTTCAACAGAGCAGTGCAACATGGTAACTATTTGCAAACATCTTTTTCTTTCTTGTTTTTTTTTTTTTTCTTTTTGAAACATCATAAGACATGTCGGTCATGTTGTAAGCTATTCCAGGGTAGCCTACACCATACATCGATGGAGTTGCCCCTGCCGAATCCAGCAACATATCATTTATGATTATGCAAAGCGATTTAGTTATAAATGAGTTTTTTTAATGCAATTGAAGACAAAAAGTAAAGTCACGAACACAGTTTTTCTTCCTTTTTTCTTTACAGCAAGAAGATGTTTTTAGGTAATCATTAAATAAAGTACAGAATTGTTTATTATTGGTGTTTTGTCTATTCTCATTTGTTTTGCTTCGCATTCAAAATATCAAAAAACAGATAGGCTATTGTAATGTTAGCATGGTAATATTAATTAGACCATTATAGGTTGAACTGAAAGAAAAATTGGAATTTGAATAAAAAAAAACATTGTAGCAATATAGTATCACATACTATTTTTCAGAAGATAGTTCAATCTGTAATTGTATCCCTTCCATCAGTAACAATTAGTTTTTTTGGCACATGTGCATTAAGCAGGGAACGCAAATATTTATTGGATAATATATTTGGAGCCTGTAATATTGCATCCTATTGTTTTTAATTGCATTTGGATAATCGTGCGCTGTACTCTGTGTGTGGGTGTTATTCGACCGTTTGAACAGCAGGAGGCGCTGTGTTCGAAAAACGAATGGTCTGAGAATGCGGGACTCTCGGTGGGGGACTGTAGATGCAGGCTCCGAGTCTGCAGCTTCATAATATTGAAAAAAAAGGTGCTGGTCAAAGTGACCGGCAGAGGAGGACATTTTGATGATATGCCGGTCAAATATCGTCTCTTAATTAGTCAAGTTGAGGAAAACTGGAGGCAGGATATGCAACTTAAAAATGATATAATCAGGCTGTATAGAATGCAAAATCGTGTCTCTGCTTGAAATCGGCTGTAACCACTGATGAACAGGCTATTCAGTGTTGATGAGAGAAAAAAAAAACTGTAGCGTAGGCTACGAGTGCGCGGATTAGAACCGCTGATCTATAACGAGATGCTCCTGATTCTCTAACGTCCGTCGCGTCTGGCCTCTGGAAACAGCATTTAAGGCTAGCCTGGGCATATCTGAAACGTCTCACTCAATCGTTCGTTGTTTAGGTCTATATTACAGCCGTTTCAGGCGTGCGCTTTATTTGAAATGCAGCATGCGATGTTGTTTAATAACTTTCAAATGTTTGAGCCTGTTCTTTTATAACAGAGTGGTCTCAAACTCGTGGTCCGCGGGCCTCGGGGGTGATATTTTGTGGCCTCCGACTTGACTTTTTTTTTTTTCATTATCCCTTATGGGCTACCATATATAGTCTCATGACAGCTTACGGTGGGTTTGTTGTCAATAGTTGTCATAGACAACCACGAAGTGCGTCTGGAAAAAAATAGTGTCGCTTCAATTATGAGCGCGCTTACCACGCGCCTACATTTGAAATAACGAACTTGAGTGCGCGCAAAATATGTGAGCGTGATATGTGAACAGGCCCAAGTCAAGCTGCCAACAATCAGGCCACGAGCTACTGGTAACTCGCGAGCGACGTGTTGGAGATCCCTGCTCTAAAACAATGTGAGAATAATCATTTTGAGCTTGTAATATGCGTCCAACAGGTTGATAAGAAGGTTTGCTTTGATTTGCACTAAGTCAGTAGTTTGCCTGAGACACTATACATGTGTAGAAAGAATTCAAATTGACGGCAGACATGACTACAAATATTTGTATTTCAAAAGCAATAATTGTTTTTTTAAGTATAATAAATGGAAAAGTGCCTTCCAAAAAAGCATTCAATATCACAGTACTATGTTGGATAAAGAAAATAAAAAGGACATGAGCAAATATAAGCATCACAAAGATGTGTTATAAGGAAAAGACAAAGAAAGTTTAAATGAACTTCAACTGTCAGAAGGACAGCTCATGAAGAACCAATCATGTACAGAAAATAATGTTCAAATTCAGAGGAACAGTTTAGAAGAAACGTTAATAATAATGATTGAGAAGATTGGATCAGTTGTGCTCCTTTTTTGAAATATATGAATACTATTTTTGTGGAATACTTGATGCGGCCCGGCCTGACCCAGACTCTATCTCCAGCAGCCCCAGTACCACTATACAATACCAGCGGTATCCATTAATCTATCTGTCTATATTTCTATCTATGCATCTAGTAATGTGTTGCTATATTTATAATGTGTCTGTCTCCTGCCTATTAGTCAGTGTGTAAATGGAATTTAATGCAGTCTTAAAGGTGCAATGTGTAACAAAGTTGAGTATCTATTAACAGAAATGCAATATGACATCCATAACTATGTTTTCAGTGGTGTATAAAGAACTTACTTAATTAGCCGTAATGTTTTTATTACCTTAGAATGAGACATTAATAGCTCCATAACCGCGGGAATCCCCTTCTATGAAGGTCGCCATGTTGTGACGTCATATTCCTACCGTAGCCGAACGCGAACACACAGCGCTACAGAACGCGTTTCATCACTACCTTGAAAGAGAAGTAGCGGAAAGCTGGAAGCTAGCCTTACACTCCGTGAGTAGTGACTTTTCCCTTGTGAGTGGTGTAAAATATGTAGTTGGGATTGTTTCATGTAACTTAGTTCTCCCTCGCTGTGTTATGGGTTTGTTATGTTGGGGATAGATGTGCTGTTACGTTCGTGAGACAGCTGATGATTAGTATTCATGTCATTGACCGTAAAACAGTACGTTACAGGAATCACTAACCCGTCGATAGAGACTTTTACTAAAGTCTTTTATCACTAAAGTCGATCGCAAAGAGTTTTCAAAATCAGAGAAAAAAAGCCTATTGTGTGTAGTAAATAGTATCTATGGGATGCGGAGATGACATGATTGTAACAGCGCGCGCAGTTCCGACCTTTGGACTCATGCGATGCGGACGCGTCCCAGCTCAGCCACAGTAACAGCTCATATTAGCCAGCTAAACTATTACTACCCTGTTAGAAAAAATATATAGCTGCTCCCTCGCTGTATTATGGGTTTGCTACAGTATGTGGGGAGAAATGTGCTGCTGGTTACGTTTGTGACAATCAGCTGATTATTATTTTATTAAATTATATATTAAAACCCTTGATCCTCACCTGACTATGGCTTTGTAAACAGACAGTATTCATGATGTGGTTTATAATGGACTGTGGTACAGAAACAGTGACAATGTTACACACTCTTGGCTTACTCTGGCTATTCTCTGCTGTCTCAGCCGACGAGATGTTTGTCCCGTTTTAGCAACCG